GACAAGCTTTCTATGGATTGCCGTTGAAGGGACTGAGACAGCAGCGCAAGGAAAGATTCTTGACCTGGCCGAGACACTGTGGCATTGTTAAACACATGTTCTCCCTGTGTCGCGGAAATGATCGGATGAGGTCATCCAGGAGCATACCAGACGACGTGAAGAGTCGGTGAAGAAGACAAGACTGCATATGATTCACCAACTCTTGTCCCGTCGGATCCCGCCACGGCTTTCTCATGTCTCAGAGACGCATCGAACACCACCTGGAATGAACATGGAAGATGGGGATGCAGTAGCGGAAGCGGGCTTTTTGCTTCCCTGCAGAGCGTCACATTGCTAACGCAAGGACGGGTCGACCTTCACAGCACCTTTAGGCTGTCTTATGAGTCAGCGGGGATTCTCTGTGCTGGCCTTTGGCCGTTCCTCGAAGCGCATTCTTGCTCCCTTACATGTAGAGATGTGCGATGCTTCACCGACATCGATACACAGAAGTGAATGTTGCGCGACTGGATGATTGCTATCCGGGAAGGGGGGCTGGATTCTCTGGGACCAGAATCGGCTGCCGCCATGGCAACTCGCGGATATTTTTCTCACTGTTCCGATGTCAACTTCTACGCTCGAAGCAGATGTGCTTTTGGGTCAATCCGATTCGCAAACTCAGATCCAGTATCCGTAGAGACCAGAGAGATGGTGTCAGCTTCCCAAATCCTGCAAGGTCCGATACTGCACCTCTATCAAATATCACCGCATCCCAATCCGTCAACCTACAAAAGTGTGGCAGCACCCATATTTTGGACATCGCATATATCGCATATTTGTCTCAACGGCTCTGCGGGGTAAAGAAAGCTGGCCACCGAGGTCTTGTCGTACCACCATCTCCAGACCGTCCACCGTCGTCTACCTATCAAGAGCACTTCCCGCCAGCCCCCTCTCTCCCCTCCCCTTCGGGATAGGTATGGCTCACTGGACTCTCATCCAGCAAACAAGGCCAAGAATTCTCATTCCACGGCGTCGAGCTATGGGGGCTAGCGACGGGTGCATACATACGAATGCAAAAGTCCAAGAGACCTGCTGCTGCTGCATCAACCATGTTCTCTCGTCACACTTTTGACCGCCATCTGCAGGGCTTGTGAGCATGAAGTCATACGTGGATAAGTGACTGGGGATTCATTGACTGTTGAGAGATTTCTTTGCCTCTATCAAATTTGCCTGGCAGCAACGGTGAGCCAGTTGCGCAGGTCATGTGCCACAGCTACAGCCCTTGCCTGGTCACGTTGTCCGCTATCGCAACGGAGCGATTGGGCGGTAAGCAAGTATCCAGAGGAGTGTTTGGTTTTGCGAGCTGAGGGCAAGGCGAGACTAATGATAAGCGATCCACGGACTGCGCCGACAGTGACACGCCAGGTGGAGGATGAGAAAGCGCAACGGGCCAACAAGGGCGAAGGAAGCTCGTCTTGGGTCATGACAGGACCCATTCGTGCCATTGGGACCCGAACCGTCCCATGTCAGTTCAAGTCACCAAAGAGGGCCAATTCTAAGAGGAAGATGAAAAATCTCGCCTCATATTGGGGACCTTTCGTAAAAGAGGCTTCTCGCAAGGCCATTGGCCTCGTTGAACGCCCCCGGACGGAATGGTAGTCTCGGTTTGATGGGGATTTCTCCGATGGAGGCCCGAAGGGCAAAGTGAGTGGCTGAGAAGGCCAGTGAGGGGAAGTCAGTTGATCGTGAGGGTGGGGTCCTGGCCCTTGGCCATGGACATTCGAGACTCGTCGGGATCGGAGGTGTGCGGTGGGCTGTAGGTAGCCGAGGGTGCAACGTTGAAGAGGCAGAAACGGGGAGGGGGGGTGGTAGATGGCTGTATTCTCACCCTTCTTTTCTTTTTGGGCCTCTCGTTCTCTCTCATTGATGGACGGTCAAGTACCTAGGTAGTTGGCCGGTCACCGGTGTGTCCATGATTGCTCCCGCCATGCAAGACAAGAAAAGCCGCACGATGCAGGAATGATACGGGCCATTGCATACTTGGGAAAGTTTCCCAGGCAAAAGGATTCGGGTGGCCGTTGAGAGGATGGCCATTACGGGATTGGGCAGGGCCGCTCACATGGCTTGCTTGTTCTTGTCTTGATCCACATGCCTCAACTACTACGTAGGTGCGAGGTGTCAAGACATGCTTAGGTACGCTTGTCTGTGTGTGTGGTGCTGGGCTTAGTTTGATTCTGGGGAAAGAAAAAGAGACTTGATAAGATTGGAATGTGATGACAGGTACGATAAGTGATGGTGGTGGTGGCAAAGACAAAGGCCGCGAACAGCAGGCGGTGGGCGGCAGCGTATCTGGGGGGGGTTCTGCAAGGCCGCGAAAGGCGCAAAGAGGGTGCGAAGTAGTGTGGGAAACCAGGTATGGTATGGCATGGCATGGGTAGCTAAGTCGTGGGCTGGTTGTGTCCATGGCAGTATGTAAGCTGGCACTAGCGAGCCACAAGCGGACGGGCGTGCGGGTTGAGAAGAGCGTGCAGCGCGCAGTGCAGTGCAGTGCAGTGCAGTGAAGTGCAGCTTTTTTTCGTTGCTTTTGCCATGCGGCTTGTGGTGCGAGGTCATCAAGGAAAAAGAGAGACCTCAGACGGGAGAGGTGTGTGTGCCGGGGAAGCTGCTCATCCTGCCCCTGATCCTTGTCGGTGTATCCTTGCAGGTGATGGACAGGGCATGGTGGGATTTTTTAGCTCGAGTGGGTGGGGGCCATGGTCCAGAAGAGTCGAGTTCGAGGGAACCCAAGAGCCATGTTGCGGGCGGTGGACCGAACGAGGATTGAACGTGGATGCGCAATCGGGTGTGTGGACTGTGGACTGTGTACGGACAGACGACTCTTTAAAAAAAAAAAAAAAAAAAAAGGTGTGAAAGGAGACATTGAGGTGAGGTGAGGTGAGATGAGAGACGTATCTGTACGGATACATAGTACAGAGAGAGAGAGGATGGCGAGGTCTCATCCCGGCGGATGTGTGCCACTGCCATACATACGCAGCACTGGCAGCACACACCCCGGTTCCCCTCTTTCCGTTTACCTTAGTCTCCTGCCTTTCCCTTTCTTGCGTCCACGCCGTTGACGGCCGGCGCCCGGGGGGGTGGCGTCGTTGATAGGTCCCCACTTATTCAGACGACAAGCGAACAACGAGTGGCCCGCCAGAGTAGACAAGAGACGGGCGCTTAACCGCCGCCGTAGCGGCAAACCGGGGTGCCATCGTAAGTAAGTATGTATCCTGTAATCCCGATTTTCTGGCCAATGGCGTATTAGCGTTCCCTAAAATAACGTCCCACGACATTGTTTCTTGTTGATTTATGGCCAATGGGAAGCTCCAGCGCCGTCTTTTTGCTTTCGTTAGCCGTCGGCTGCCGCTGCTATGCTATGCACGAGCTTCTTTTCCCGTCCCCCCCCCCAGCCAATCACGAATAGACTTTTCCCGACCTTTGCGCCGTCCTAGACCCTCATTCCACCCACTTCACACATCCTCACAGACGAGGTTCGTTGCTGAGCAGGTACTGACTACTACGCTTTCCCCACGCCGGTTCGACTTTTTGACTACCTTACCCGCCGTACGAGTACAGCTTCCGCCCGCTGCTGCTGCTGCTGCTGCTGCTGTGCTGCCCTGTGCCTGGCCAGTTGCCTATGCTGGGGAGGGGAAACGGACGGAGTACCTACCTACATGCCGCGTCCTGTCCTGCGTGGTGCTTCGCTGCAAGTGCAAAGTGCTTGCTGCCGGTTGTGCACCGCTATCCACATGGATGGCTGCCCGGCTACACACCCCCTTTGGCCGGGGAACCACCAGCCTTTCGAAGCGTTCCCTCTCTCTCTCTCTCTCTCTCTCTCTCTCTCTCTCTCTCTCTGTACGGAGTACCTACCTATGCCTCTCTCTCTCTCCCGTCTTCACCCTAACAACTGTCGACGCCGGGATCGTCGCCTGGGACCTCGTTGTTCAGGGTTCAATGAATGGTCCATGGGCTGGGCCTTTGCCCGCTCGGCCACACACACACACACACACACAGACAGGTACACGCAAGCGCACTCTACTACCTCTGTCGTCTCTCCAACCCAGAACCCAGCACCCAGAACCTAGATACCTAAACCTGCCCACACACCACTCGGGCTATTATTATACACTCGACTGGTTTGTTCAGAGTGCCACCATCGGCGCCGTGTGCAAGTGCCACGGGTCGAATCACACCAGAACCAGCATGCATATTGGGGACGAGGACATGGCATGGGTGATGGGATACCTAGCTGTGCGTGCTTCTGCCTCTGCTGCTGCTGCTGCGTATGTGCTGTGATCCGACTTTCTCTCAACCACCATGCTTCCCTCCTCCTCAACACCCCCCCTAGTCTTTCGCATCCCTACACTGCTCCGCCGTGCATGGACACACTAGACATACATAACTCGCGGTAGGCGCCCGCCTTGTACCGGATCCCCTCCTTCTTCTCTTTTGCGACCCGTTACATACCAAACGAGCATATTCGGCTCTGCTGGACCTCATATCCCCTTTTTTTCCTTTAGGCATCTCCTTTTCGCTGGTCTCGTTTCCTAGCCCCGAGGTGTATTCAACCCCTCATAGCTTGCACTGCGTGCCGCTATCCCCCCAAAGTATTCACAGGCTTCATAGAACAGAGTGCTGCCGGCAACGGCTTCTCCCTCTCCCCTCGATTTTCCAGCTTTACAGGGAAAAAGCAAAGAGAAAAGGGTATCAAATCCCCCACGGAGGAGGCTGTCCTGCGCTGTAGACTGCAAGTCAGATATAGCCAGTCCACGCCCTCTTGAACATTCCTCCACCCCACTTTCCGTATCTGGGAATAACCACTTACACACAAATACAAAATGGTAAGATGAGAAAGACAATCAGAATGAGGTTCGCGACGCTGCGTGTGGCTATTATTGAGGCTGACTTTGCGCCGCTAGAACTACACACAAGAATATGACAGAGGCGAACGTCGCCTGCGCCATGAGATGCGCGAAAAGGCTCCCATGCGCGACACATTCTTTGGCATTAAAGCCGAGCCGCAAAGGCCAACGTCAGTGGCGACCGAGTTCATGGACATGGAATGGGACGACGACGTGCTCAGCGAGTTTGAAGACAACTCTCCAAGGATCAGTGTCAACTCTGTAAGTTATCTGTCGGAAACGCAGTGGCCTGGCGAGAACGGCTACAGCTAACGTATGTCGGCGCAAAAAAGTCTGGCGGCCAGCCAAGTATCACAACACTCTCATCCTACGATGAGGTGCAGACGCCAAGGTCGAGTCAAGGGCGGATGATGTACGCGACGGAGATGATGGAATCACCAAACAAGAACACTGAGGGTCCTTCCGGCCCGCACCTGTTCCGCGCTTCCACCGCCAGCTACTTTGACGAGGCCATTCTGACGCTGTCCCCGGTGACACCCAAGACGGCGCGGCCTTTTGACGAGCCCTTTAGACACATCAGACCGCAGCAGCCGCCGGTGCCCCTATCCAGACACCAGAGCGGTCCTTTTCAATTCACGTACGAAGAGTTCGAGTCGAGGGAGCTCGTCTCATGGACGCCAGAGATGGTTGCGCAGTCGATGCTCAATGCTGGCATTGAGCTCTCGGTCGCCGGCCGTTTCGTCGAGAACGACATCAACGGACCCATCCTAATCACGTTGAAGTTTGAGGACCTGAAGGAATTGGACATTCCCTCATTCGGCATGAGGACGCGCGTGTGGAACCAGATCCAGGTCTTGCGCGACAGCAGACCCAGCTCGCCCCGCGCCCCGACGCCGATCCAGGACGAGCCGAGCCGCGAAGTCAAGAAGGAGACCCGCGAGGTCCGGGCGGCGGAGAGGCAGCAGGTGGACGACTGCGGTATGAAGAGGAGCAAGAGCAGCAGGAGGCGACCCAAGAAGCCGTCGCACGACGACATCATCACCCCCATGGAGTCCGTGTCCATCGTCGGCATCGAGCAGGTCGTCCCCAAGCCGCATCAGTGCCCCAAGGGCGAGAACTGTTCAAAGTGGAGGAAACAGCAGCGCCTCATCGAGGCCTTCAAGAAGGAGCACCCCTTTGTCGACCTCGAGACGGAACAGGTCGTCATCACCGGGAACCCGGGCAACCCGCACACGGCCAGGGCCCTCGACCCTACGCAGATCCTCAGGCCCGTCTCGGACGCCGTCCCGTCCGTGGTGGCTTCCTCCGATGTGCTGGGACCCGGTAACGCAACTCCGCTGCAGTATCTCCAGGAGGCTGCTCTCCGCAACGTCGTTGCGAGAGATCCTCAGGATAATGTGCGCCAGTTCCTCGACTTCCAGAAGCATGAGGATACCACGGTACCCCCGACACCCCCCTTCGAGATGGGCTTCCCCTCCATGAAGGCCCAGCCCGAACGCCTCCGTCACCTCCCGAAGCTCTCCATCCCCGGCGCGCAAGCTCCCCGCGCAAGCCCTCTGCGCGCCTCCACGGTCCCTCCCCCTTCCTCCCACCCGGAGCCTCTCCCGACACCTCCCTACCAGCAGCAGCCGCAAGGCTTCGTCCCCTACCACATGGACCGGGCCGAGGCCATGTCCCCGGACCTACAGAGCCCCGTCAACAACCCCTACCGCTTCGGCACCCCATTCTCCGAGATGGACGTCCCCGTCACCGCCGTGCCGATGGACCGCATCGCCCGCGATGTCTCCCAGTCCGTCCCACCCGAGATGAACTACCGCGCCGGCATCACCAAGCAGCAACAGCAGCCACCGCCCCTTTCCCGCACTCAATCCCGCTCCTCCGCCCGCCGCCCCTCGTTCCCCGTCCTCCCAGCCCTCAACGAGAACACCGCGACCCCCATCGCCCGCACATCCCCCAGACACACCTCCCCACGCACCTCCGTCCGCCCTCAACCCCTCCAGACACAGCACCACCAACAACAACCTCTCCAAGCCCCGCCCCGCGTAAACTACCCTTGGTCCCCCATCGAGCGCACAACCCCCTTCGAGCAAGCCATCCCCCCAATCTCCCACCTCGCCGCCGCTCTCCCCGTCAAACAAGCCGCCTCGGCAGCCCAGCAGGACGGCGTAACCTTCCAAGGCCCCATGAAGAAGCGCAAGACCAAGATGCTCCGCCACGAGTGGAACGACACCTTCTGCACCCTCAAAGGCACCCGCCTCGCCGTCCACAAGGACGCAAAGACAGTCGACCGCACGCTCGAGTACGTCAACGTAGACGACTACGCCATCGCGTGCTCCAGCCTCGCCTCGCAGAGCAAGCTCACCGCCGCCTTCAAGGCCGTGCAGTTCTCCTCCTCGCACAGCCGTGAGAAGAGCGACCCCGTCGCGGCGTTTAGCTTCCAGCTCATCCCCCAGGATAAAGATAAAGAGTCCGCGGGCGCGAAGCTGAGGAAGCGCGGGAGCGCGCTGCATGGTTTTGGCCCGAAGCACGGGCACTCTTCGAGTTCGGGGTCGATCCCCGCCGAGGGCGCGAATGGCACGGGCAAGACGCATCATTTTGCCGTCAAGAGCCGCGATGATAGGATCGATTGGATGCGGGAGCTGATGCTTGCCAAGGCGCTGAAGCAGAAGGGGGATGGGTTCGAGGTCAGTGTTAATGGTAACATGATCTAGCCTCCTCCTCCACCCCGTCATGAAAACCGCTCTCAACAAGCCGAAGCAAAAAAGAGAAGAAGAAAAGCACCAAACATCTGATAATGACTTGCGGTTTTGCTTTACGTCTTGTTTTCCCCTCTGCTTTTCCATCTTCACTTCAAAGCCAGCAAGCGAGCAACATTGCCTCGGGGGGCTCTTTTTTCTTATGATTTTCTTATAAAGGGATCGTCATTGGTTCACTCTTTGCCCCCTTTTTTCTGAATTTCTTTGACAAGGTCGAGCTCTTCGGGTCCTCCGAGAACCTTGACCGTCTCTCTCTCTCTCTCTCTCTCTCTCTCTCTCTCTCTCTCTCGTCTCTTTTTCTCTTGCATAAGTCATCTGGATAGCGGCATTTGTTACATCCTTGAAATCAGATTCTCCCTCCCCCCTTTACCTGACGCCGGGTATATGACTTTCCTCCCTTTTTTTTATCTTATTACAACAGGGGGGGAGGGAAAGGATAGGAAACCGGGGATTTTTGTTATGAGGTTCTTTACTGAACATAATTATCTTTCTATCTCTGTATCTCATTTCTTTCATGCAAACCGAAAAAAAAAGGAACACACCAAAAAAGACATAACACGTACGGAAACGAAGTGGAACGAAAAAACACTCCTTTGGAACTTTTTTTCAATATATACTACTCTGGGAGGGATTACCATGATACCTAAGTTTCCTTTTTAGCTTATTCGAGAAAGTCTAGTTGCAAAATGAAAAAATAGGGGGCCTGAATAGGAGCCGACTCACCCTTTTGGTGAGCACGTTCCAGGATCTCGGTTTATGAAAATGAAAATCACTCCTTGTTCTTCTGAATATGCTCACTTGTGAGAACATGTCTTTTGTGATGTATTTGAAAAAAAAATAGAAAAGAAAAAACCCCACTTTCAGTTTTGCCAACATAGACAGAAGAGTCAAGCGAGGTGGCGAGGCGAGACGAAGGGCTGGACAAAGAGAAAGTCCTTTTCTGCCGAGTGAGAAGATTTTGTTGCGGTTACGGCATTTGCTCTACAGATATCCTTTTCCGAGTCCAACGCTAGTCTTGAGGCATGGCGAAGAGGGTTAGTCATTCGATATCTGCGTGTGTCTTGCCTCCTTTTCACCGGGGAGAATGGTGTCCCCTTTTGAAACTTTGAAATAGAAAATGAGCTCACCTGTTTCGTGCTCCCATCCCAACCCCCCCCCCGGCGTGAGATAACAACGTTTGCATAAAGATGCAGTCAGCTAAGGGCACTCTCTGGAGGGTAGGGCGAGGAAGCCGCGATACCCAAGTCCTCCCTCTTCCTCCTTTCCTGTTACCTGGCGAATTATGTCAATGTGGGAAATATACCAGAAAGTGACATAGAGAGACGGTCGCAGGGTGACAGGGTGATACTCCATAAACAGTCATCATCCATCCAACATTCAATTCGAAGCTATCCAATTCGTTCATGGCAGCTTTATTTCCTTGTGCATGTGACTCGAGTACTTTGCAGAGTAGTGATGCCATCATTGTTTGCGGGGGTAAGGACAAGAAGTCCAAGTAGTACAGGAATGGTACATGTTATTTCTGCAACACAAAACCCTCATCTTCTGTATATGCAGCGGTTTTTCTATTCTTACAGCTTCCTCTTCGCTTTTTGATAATTCCTACATGTAACCCGCCAAACCGCCCAAGCTACTATCCACACACAGAGGTTTTGCTGGGGTCGGAAGGAGAGACTCTCTCCTGCTGATGATGGACGAGGGTCTCTCAACCGCTTCTTGCTCCCCAGCAGGTATCTGGTTCAGGCTTTGCTGTGAGGGAACTGTTACCCGCGTAGCAACCGTCCCCCCCCCCCCCTAACCAAGCCTTACTTCACCAACCTCTCAGGACCATCCCCCTCCCCACGAAGTCACATTTGCCGCCCCCCCTTTCTTGGCTTCGTTTACCGCATGAACTGTGGCCGGGAAGGAATGTCCGCCGCAGTGTTGACAGCCTCCCAGTCAATAACCTCCCACCACGCCTCAGCAAACGCCTTCTTGCCACCGCGACCGCCGACACCGAGCCCGTAATCGCGGATCCATGTGTGCTCCCACGTGTTGAGGCACAAAAGCGGCACAGCATCAAGCGCGCCGGGCGGCTTCGTACCAGGTCTCTGCGCCGCGGCGCTGCGCTGGAAGTAGTTCTTGGCGGAGCCGCCCAGACCGACGGTGTTCATGTCGGTGCTCTGGAGGCGCCAGTGGGCGCCCGGGTAGGGGGAGCCCGCGAGGTAGGTCGTCAGGACGCGGTAGTCTTGGTGGCCTGCCTTGACGAGCCAGACGAAGCCCGGGCCGAACATGGAGGAGGCGGTGAGGATCATTTCGCGGCGGAGGGTGTCGATGGAGGAGAAGGAGTGGGAGAGCTCTGCGGCGAGGGACTCTGGCATGGGTTTCGGGTTCGGGGTGATGTTTTTGAAGAAGAAGTGGGTGTTGTGCGCCATGGAGGCGTTGTTGAAGACGGGGGCTTGGGAGGGGTCTTGGGCGGAGGCGAGGAGGATTTGTTTGACGTCGCGTTGTTCGAGGTCGGTGCCTGTTTGTTGGTTGGGAGTTTAGTATTGGCTCTATCTCTGGTATAGTGTATGCGAGTTATACGGTTCGAGATTGTCGTGCGACGGTAAAGTCAGGAGAAGGGGGGGGGTGACAGGTATAGACTGACCTGCAATCAAGGCATTGAGCTTGTCAAGAATAAGCGTCATGTATTGGTTCCACGCCATATCGTAGCCGTCGGCCGACAGCAGGCCCGGGACGCCGTCCTTGAAGTCGTGAGAGAGCTGGGGCACGTAGTGTATCGAGCGCTGCTGGAGAGGTCTGGCCGGTGCTGCTCTGGCGGCGGCGGCGATGCCCGCGCCGATGCGCGGTAACCTTAATCGTGAGAACATTGTTGTGGTATATGTGTGTATTGGGTTCCTCAATGCGCCGGTGGATTTAGAGGAGGAGGTCGTTCGGGGTGGGCGTGGTAGGGAGGTTTCGCCGACGAAGGGGGAAAGCAAGCTGTAGACCGGGAGCTTCGACGATGATGAACTTTTTTTTGGGACGGCTGTTCCCGCGTGTCCAATTGGCGCGTTTGGTTGTGGCCTTATGATTGAGGCGTGAAGACGTTCCGAAGCTTTTGTGGGGTTGTTTTCGGGGTGGGTCAATCGGTACGGGTGGGCAGTTGGTGATGGCTTCAACTTACAAGATGCAACTTCCAACTTGCACCGCATAACGACTGATGGGGACCATCTTCTGAAGAATGCAAAACACACAAGGCAACCCTGTGATGAATTTCCCTTGTGACTGACCGGATTGGGAGATTCGGCGACCAGTCCCAGCCCAGGCCCCTCACGGATGGTTCGGTTCGAAGCCGTAAAAACACCAACATCAACTGCAACCCAATCTTCAACCAACATCGCCACTCATCATTCCACTCGTCCTTCCAACCATGGAGTACCATTCTCTCACGACCAACATTCGAGAAAGAAATGCAAACCGTAGAAAACCTAACCGCCGACCTCAGCGCGTACGGCATAAACCCGGGTTCCCACCCATTGCGGCCGCATAACCGCCGGCGCGCCCGCTCGTCTTACACACACCTCACCCATCCCTCATAAAAAAAATTAAAAAAAAAAGACTAGGCGCTTACACAGTACTGAGAACCGATGAGGCAAACAAGGCCTTGAGTCTTGACCTGGACCATGCTTCTGCGTTCTGCGTGAAGGTGGCGCTGCGCGCATTACGGGTATCCTCTAGCCCATGATCATCGACCAACAGTTGTCACCTTACTATGGGGTGCTCCTAACGGACTAATGTCAAGAGACTGACAATTGACTTCATCTGCTACCAGCGAAGAGAGAAATATCCATGTCAAAGATCCTCATTATCAAGAGTGTACGAACTTAGTACTGCCCGCACCAGACTTTCCCCCATTCGTTCGTTGCTATAGATCAGACGATCGAGACTACCTAGGGAGGTGGGCGATATGGTTGGACAGCCATCGGCTCATTTCAACCCCCCTTCCCCATCTCAGACCGAGGCATGGTGGAAGGTTCACAACAGTTGGGGACCGGCCAGATAGACGACTACCTCGACGCAAATACTTTCACACCTGCATCATGCGGGAATACGCCCTTACAACAGTTGATTCCGTGCCATCTGTAACTAACCATACAACCTCCGTCTTCTTGTGGTCTCTACTCGGTCACCAAACTTAAGATTGGCACGTTGTTGGACAACGTCATGTTCCCCGACTTGTACTGGACTATCAGCAGCCCCGGGGTTCGCCCATCACACTACGGGAATTGTTGAGCATTTCTTTGCTATATGCCACCATATTCCCCGAGACTGGCTATTTCTTTTTATCACCACTTGTTCTTGCTTTCATTTGATACGGTTTCTTCAAGTCGTATGAGTTCAATTCTCAATATTCAAAGGTATGGCCATGGATAAACGCCCCGGTACATGCAACCCAACCCTATGCCGAATAACAGCCTGATCCCGCGGAAATCCCCACGGAGCACCACCGAGGAGGAGAAACTTCATATACACGAAAAGGCCACCTGCCTCGCGATTCAAACCTCGTCGTCTTCAATCATGCCGAGGACGTCCAACTCCGTCTTCACCAAACGCTCAAACTCTTCCCTGTCGATACCGGACGAACGAGCCAGCAGGAAGAGACTGCGAATGCTCCTCGACACGTGCTGCTTCACGCCAAACTCATTCTGGTCCTGCTTGCCCACACTCTCCTCGAGTTTTTCGACCAAGCGGCTACCGTTGCTGCTAGCGCTCGAAGCCGGACGCGGATGAAGGAGCACAGCAGCCCTGTCTTCGTCAATCTGGCTGTGAATCGAGGGTGACCGCGGGGGTTCAGCCAATGTCCAGGATCCGTTTGTCTCGTTAAGACCCCGGTCCGAGTCATTTTGGCTGACAACAGCGCCCAGTCCCAGGGGCGGGGCAGTTTCGAAGCCCTCGACCTCCTCGTCGGGATCGTGGCCGTCCATTGCCGGTTGCACTGAATCATATTGCGCATAGTACGCATCCTCCGCCGAGTCGGTTCGGAACTGGCCCAGCTGCGACGGCTGTGGTACGTGCGGCGCGGGGGAACGCTTGACTGCGGGGGACTCATTTGCTGGCGTGCGAGCAGGAGTTGCGTCGTACCTGTCCCAGTATCCATCATCCTCGTCGTCATCCGCCTCGGCGGCGTCGTTGTACGCGGAGCTAGCTGGTGCTCTCGACGTCTTTGTCGCCGCCTGTGACTTTTGGTCTGCATAGGCCTTTTCGGCCTCGGCGATGGTCGAATAACCGCCAAAAGTCCCAAAGGGTGCCGCCTTGTCGGTGACGCTAACCTCGCCGATTCTCCAGCCGTCGCCGCCGCCATCCTTATCGCCGACGCAGTAGACTAGTTGGAAGGTCAACTCGAGCTCCTCGAGGGCAACAAAGGCCTGCAAGGTCTCGAGATCGAGCCGCCTGTACCTCGTCCTTGCGTCGTATTCCCAGTCTACCTCGACCTCGCCAGATACGGGATGCGGCTCTAGCCTGCCGCTTTGGACAATCTCTGCCAGGCGGGCCGCCTTGTCCGTGTCGTATGCGAGGAGACGGAGCCATGGCTCGGTGCTGGCCTCTGAAAGAAGTTGGACTCGTTGCCTTAAGATGGGGCTGAGAAGAGGCAAGACGCCGATGGCGGGCTGTTTGGAGATGCTTGCCGGCACGAGAGCAGGTAGTAACGGGGCTAACAGGCCGCCGATGTTGGGCATTGGTGTGGTGGTTGAAGTCATGGTTGTGGTTGTGATACAGGTAAGGGTACGATTTGTAAAAAAATATCGCTCCCTCGCGGCCTCTCCTTGCCGGGCGGGGATGTAAGATATTTGAGGAAGCAAGATGCCACTGGCCTACTTGGAGCGACTGTGGTGGTTGGTAGTGTGTGTATGTGTTGGCGGCACTCGTGACAGTAGGTATCACATGCAGCAGCGCTACTTGGTGTCTTGGTGTTCAGTTCAGCCTAACTCGGAAATCTCTGCCTGTGAAATTGGGTCTGGACAGAGTGATAGGTAAGTGTTGTAAGGTGTGAGGTATGTGTGTGAGTGTATACAGTAGAGTAAGAGAGGCGATCGTAGAAAGGAAAAGAGGGAAAGTCGCGATTATTATGAGGAGCAAGTGTGAGAGGCGAGAGAGCGAGAGACAGAGAGAGAGAGAGAGAGACGACAAAGTCTATGGCCTCCTCCGTCGAGTTACGCAGAGTCGGCGGCCCCACGCTCGATGGCTCCGTGGCTGCTCCCCCCCCTCTCCCGTCCCAGATCCCAAGGAGCCAAAAGTCCAGATCCACCTGGAAAAGGCTGGTGTCGACCTCCCCGGGTGACGGATAGTGAGTTCGGTCGGGGGGCTGACCCCACAGTTGAGGGGAGGCAAGGGCGGGCAAGTCGCCAAGGCAGGCGGTTCTGGCCAATGCGGAGGCACATTGGAGCAGGTCAAAGGCTGCTGCGACTCCGCCCAGGGCAGTCGTTTCGGACGGAGGGAAGTCGACCACTGACGCTTCCCCCAATGCTACATGACTACTTCCCTGTACTCCGTACTGTCTTCCGTACTTGTCCAGGTGTCCTTGACAATAGGCGAACTGGCCAATGACACGCTGCTGAGGTCTCTTGCACGTGTCAAGACTCCAAGTCTTTCTTGGTAGCCATATCCGTACCTACCTTTAATTAGTAGTAACTACCTACCGTGTGGAAAGGCAATGGGATTTCCGGCTCCAACTTCCGTGTGTCCTTGCCTTCTCATCCACGTCTCGTCTCATTTCGGCATGGCTTGTTTGGGGCTGCTGCTACCTAGTCTCACGGTCGTTTTTTTCTTCTGTTCCGTCTCTCGTTGCCGGCCCTGTCTCTGTTTCTCTCTCCTCCCAAAATACAAAATACCTACCCAGTGGGAAATATCCGGTATCGGTACCTTATTTCTCATTCTCGCGGCTTTCCCGGCGCCTCGAAACAGGAGTTGCCGAGCATTGATGAGACAAAGACATTTGTCAGGACTGCCTTCCACATGGCATTTACTCTGTCACCACATTGCCATACCGTTGTTTGTTCCAGACTTCTTCCTCAATTGTCTCTGTCATCAACATCACTGAGGCGTACCCGTACACACTTCTGTACCTCTGCAACAATCCCTGATTGAGGCGCTCTTCCTGTACTTTCTTCTTCTTCTGCTCTACCTTACAGTATCCTCTGTAATCGTCAAAGTGTTACCTTATCAGTGCAAGTCACGAGGGCTCATATAACGTCGTCACAAGACAGCACGTCTGAGAACTCGAGATATGTCACTGCATTCCTTCTCCCGCAGGCAAGTCTCGCAGCGAGTTCCGTGAGATAGCCAAGCCCCCCTCTCGTCTCTTCTTTCTTCTTCACTTGTTCGATCCTAGGTATGTCATGTTGAAATTGATCTCGCATTTGCATATTGCATCTGTCCGTGGTTCTTCCATCGCCGCTCGCTCTCTAAGACTCTCGCCCGCTCTGTTCCGTCCGCACGGGTGAAGGGGACCAGACCCTGCGTGGCTATGCTGCCACGGCTGGCTAAGCTGCTTTGGGTGACTTGTTCATCCATCTAACAAAGACTCAATGCGAGGAAGGTCCCCCTGCTGCAGCTTGCAGTTTGCAGTCACGCCCACAGTGGAGCCAGGCCGCAGTAAACATCTCCCGAGCTGCAGTGGGAGATCTAAGAAGGTCCCGTCCTTGACAGCCCGCTATCGTCAAAATTGCGTCATACTGCTTGGGGTTTCCTAGCAATTCGGGGTCGGTTCCATTCAGTCAAGGTTCCTTAGCTGGGGGGGTGTTTGCGCGCGATAAGGCCAACCAAACTTACCTGCCCGGTCCTTAACTTACACTAGTGAGGTACTCAGAGCTGTCTATCTTACGTACTAACAAAAAATTCCACACGCGACCAAACCCAACATCTACGGAAATTCCAGAACAACAGCGACCGTCAGCGAACAGACGTTAGAAGATTTGTTCAGTTTCCTCACGACCCCCGAAGAAAACCACCAATTCTCAAACACGCTCTCCATCAATTGAGACCCCTCAGCCTCATTGCGGAAGCCTCAATTCCTGCTGTTTTAGCTTCCCGTCATCGCCACGCAGAGAAACGAATCACGACGGACGCCTCCCCGTGCCATCTCGGATCGCGCCGCTTGGACAACCACCCACAGACGATCCCAACCATCTGACCTTGAAAAACCTCGCACACCCGGGCCCGAAGCCCACTCGTCCATCACCGAAAGCAAGAGGCAAGCGAGCAGCCGTCTGTCCGCTTTGCTCGTCTCTCTCTGTCATCCATTCCTACCGCACCTTAGAGTTTCCGCGCCAGGTCCCACGAGGACACTACCGGATGCATGTCGCCCAGCGGCGAACGCCTCAAGGATGAGGTAAGGCTAGACCCAGACCTTCCCATGCCTGACGTGACGGCCTCTCCGGCCTGTCAACAACCCAAAGTCACGTCACGATGCTGACACACTGTTCGCGCCCAGGGCTCCCGCCTGCAGGTTGTAACGGCCGGCGCCACCGCCGGCCTGTTTGCTCGGTAAGGCAAACCCAATGGTTGAGGCTTAGTGATTCACGCTGACTATCGCCGCCTTCTTCGCGATGGCGCAAACAGCTTTGTCATTGCCCCCCTCGATGTCGTCAAGATCCGCCTGCAGCTGCAGACGCACTCGCTCTCCGACCCTCTGTCGATCCGATCAGCCAGGGGCGGGCCCGTGTACAAGGGCACCCTGAATACCATGAGGCACATCATCGCCAACGAGGGCATCACCGGCCTGTGGAAGGGTAACGTCCCCGCCGAGATGATGTACGTGTGCTACTCGGCCGTTCAATTCACGACGTATCGCACGACGGCGCAGTTCCTCAAAGCAGCTTTTGACAACCGCCTGCCAAACGCTGCCGAGTCCTTCCTCGCCGGAGCCGCTGCCGGCGCGGCCGCCACGACAGCCACATACCCCCTCGACCTCCTACGGACCCGATTCGCGGCGCAGGGTAACGACCGGGTGTACACGAGCCTCCGGCGCGCGGTGGCGGATATCTATCGGGACGAGGGCCCGCGCGGCTTCTTCCGCGGCCTCGGACCCGGCGTGGCGCAGATTGTCCCATATATGGGCATCTTCTTCGCTCTGTACGAGGGCCTGCGGCTGCCGCTGGGTGATCTGCACCTGCCGTGGGGCGGCGGCGACGCCACGGCCGGCGTCGTGGCCAGCGTGCTGTCCAAGACGGCCGTCTTCCCGCTCGACCTGGTGCGGAAGCGCATTCAGGTCCAGGGGCCGACGAGGTCGCGGTACGTGCACAAGAACATTCCCGAGTACCCCGGCGCTGTGCGCGGTTTGCGCATCATTTTTGCGAAAGAGGGAATTCGCGGGTTGTATCGTGGTCTCATGGTGAGTCTTATCAAGGCTGCGCCTGGCAGCGCGATCACGGTGTGGACGTATGAGAGAGTTTTGAGGATGTTGCAGAGACTTGATGGTTCTGATGACCAGCGGTTCTGAATTCACTCTAGACGGATGAGAAAGAGAGAAAAGTAGAGAGCAAAAGTTGAGCGTGGGCTAGAAAAATGATACCCCTTGTTAGAGAACGGGAATGGGATATAGAGTTCCCCTGTACAACATTATGAAGGTCATGGAATACCCTTCACATATAGATAAGACGTAATACATGAAAGGTGCATCTGTTGTATCACAAGAGAAGCTGGAGCCGTCGGGATCAGTAATTGTGAAGCTCTCCGGTCCGTCCAGCTGGCTATTAACGAGCCATTGCTTTGGTTTGCTAGATTCCTATTGAAACACGTAAAATACCTTATCCTGGGGGAATGTTCACAGGCCAATCCAACTGTCGTGGTGCCATCGCCGGCAGACCACAAAGTTGCCACAGACTCTGCGATCGTTCGCTGTGCCGGATGATCTTGACTGTGTTTCTTCTCGAGGTAGACATGATCTCCATCCTCGAAATTAACTCGCCTTTGTGTAGTTCAACGTAGCCTACCGCCGCTAGTCGCCGGTTCTCGTTGCGGTGTAACGGAATACTCCCCCAGTCTCCGACGGGAGACGGAGAGAGACGTGGGAGTTATGAAACTTGGAGTAGATGATGGTGAGATGAGATTGGTGAAGGTCGACGACCTTGCTCATCACTTTGCCTCAAGAAGAATCTACCTGGAGACGGTTGCTCAAATAAATGGACGAAGGCCTTGTGTGGGTGTCGTCGATGTGCTTACATTCCGTAGAACTCAAGTACCTTGAATACTCAGGTTAATCAGATGACGGAAGGATCAGTCTCTTCTTGCAAACACGAAAATACTGTCACCGTTTCTGCCTGGATGGTGCTGCTAGATGTCGGAGCTGCTTTCATCGTTCAAGGTTTTCTACTATTGAATCGCTATTTTATGACGGGGGTAAGCGGCCTTGGTTGGTAAAGCAAAGTCGCATGACGGCTGGAGTAGGATGACAGTCCTTATGAAGGGTCTCCAGTTTCGTAGTCCAATCGTGGCGGCGAAAGAATGCCATTGGCGTTTCTCGTTTCGTACATTAAGGAGGTAGGGGATTGTGCTGAATGGCAGGTAGCCTACTTTACTAAGTTGCTCAGAGAGTCGATGATTTTACGAATCCCATGAATCGCTCATGGATGGAGGGCTCTCTTATTCAACGGAAGAAGTGTTTCCTTAAAGACATCACCATAACGCCTCTTGAGACTCGTAGTAGGTAGGCTCTTCGCCAAAAAGAAAGAAAAGAAAAGGTCTGCGAGGGGACTCGAAGTCAAGACCTTCAAAAAGAACAAGCCACCGGGGGTCAAGCTGCTGGCGCGGAGGTCGGGAGTGAGCAGTCCCAACTGTTACGCCAACAGGTCTCCGCATCCGATGGTGACAATTCGAGCGAATAATGGACCTATAGACCATAGCAGGTGACTGACTGTATGAATACTCACGTCTATGGATACCAAAAAAAATGTATATTCAACCCACCAAGCAGGAGCATCAACACAACCCCAGTTTCCCTCAAGCATCCTCATTCCCTACCTACTTCACTTCTCCAACGTCCCACCCTCCTTCAACCCGCCCACCTCACCCGCATTAACCCGATCCGCCCTCTCCGTACACTCCTCAATCACCCTCCAGAACATGGGAATATCCAGCCCGCGCGGTATCCTCACGCCCTCGCTCCCCGGCGGCAGGGCTTTAGCGATGGTCCGCCCCAGCTGCGACTTGCCGCTCTTGGCTTCTTCGAGGTCGCCCTCCGCGACGACGGTGAGATCGAAGCGCTCGTGGTACTTTACGCAGTTGCCCTTTTTGGCATCGTAGTCGTGAAAGGGGATCTCGTGCCGCGTGCCCGTCAGCACGGCGGCTACGGCGAGGGGGTCGTGGAGGGGGGGTCCGGCTGTGATGCCGAAGACGTCGCTTTTGTCCATCTGGGTTAGCAAAACTCTCGTGACATTTATGTCAGGACAGAGGGAGGAGAAGGAGTGTAAGTGAAGTGTATGTGTGTACAACATACCTATACGTCTTGGCGAAGAACATGAGCAGCTCAACCAACATCTGCCTCAACGTCGTCTTTCCCTTGCCCGTCTTCTCCCCGCCGTGCGTCCCGTACAGAAGCGCATCCCGCACCTCCTCGGTAGCAAGAACCTGATGCGACAGATCCAACGGCACAAGCGTCGTCTTGGCCGCGAGCGCCTTGTTATGAAACACGGCAGCCGCGGCCTCGGGGTCGATGATGATATTGAACTCGGCCCACGGCGTCCAGTTGCCCACGCGCGGCACGCCGTCCACGACACCCAGGACGATGTCGGTGAAGCCGTCGCCGATGGCGCCGCCCATGATGCTTAACCCCTTGAGGTGGGAGACCAGGTCCGGGTACTTTGCGAACAGCTCGGCAACGTTGGTGAGGGAGCCCGTGGCGACGAGCCAGGCTGTTCCGGCGGGCTGGGCGGAGAGGGCGGCGGCCATGGCGTCGATGGCCGGGACGGAGCGGTTTGCGTCCTTGGCGGGTTGGGGGAGGAGGTCGGTGCCGTCTAGGCCGGATTCGCCGTGGATGTCGGTGGCGGCTTGCATGGGCGGGCGGGACATTGGCTTTGCGGCGCCGACGTGGACGGGGATGTCATTGTGTTTGCCGATTGCTGTGAGGATTGAGGTGGCGTTGTTTGTGGTTTTCCTTGGGGATGTTTGGTTAGTACTAATTTTTTTTGTGATTATGAGATGTGTAAGAGATGGTCGATGTTCACTCACTCGAGGGGGGCGTTTCCGAAGACGGTTGAGAGGCCCAGCAGCTTTATTGTTGGGTGGTAGGCTGCTAGGAGGATGGCAAAGGTGTCCTGTGAGATTGATTAGTACTGGGCTGAAGGTATTCGGTGATCACTCGCTGGTGTATGCGCAATATTTCACTAATATCTGAGTGAGGCAGCGCAACCTCACATGGACAGGATGAGTGACACATCATGAGTTCAGGACAGTAACTCACATCATGGCCGGGATCACAATCCAGCCAGACCGGCACCGGTGTTTCGGGCAAATCGAGATCAACCATGGTGGCTCAGGTAAACGGGTTGTTGAGGATAACAGATATATGTGTGGAATTTGTGGCTTATCACGACAATCAGTGAAACCGCACAAAACAATGATGAAAACGATAGTCTGTACGGATACGTTGGGTTTGGTGTTCCCTCGGCAAGGTGAACAGACCACGGACGTTGTCACCGGTGCCGTGGGGTTGCGCTTTTACTTTACAAGCCCGTGTGTGGTGCCCACTTTCGGTGGATAAGACCAAACCAAACGAGCACGGGGTGGTGGAATGGAGTAGAATAGTGTACCGAGTAAGGCAAGGTAAGGTATTCTGGGGCTCCAAGGATGGGGGCGGGGGAGCCGGCCGGTCTGCAGCGGGTTTGCGGACTACGGAATTGTTTAGTGACGAGTTGACAGGCACAGAGAGGAAACAAGAGGTCAATTTTAGGTAATGACATGGACTCTTCCACACAGCGTTGGGCCAATCCCGTCGAGGCTATGATGTCTGCTCTGTTTCGGTTCCCTCACCTTGGCCATTGATCTCGCTGGTAAGGAGTCATGGGGGACAAGGAAAGCTTTCGGGCAACCTAAGTTCTTGGATGAATCCTGCACAGCATACACTCCACCAGGCCTTTTTACCTCACAGGCTCACAGGTCCAAATAACCCTTGGGGGCGGGCAGGCAAGCACCGTGGGCGGAGTCGGGCGGTCTTCTGATAAGTGAGGCGGTGCCCTCCGAGCGCCGCTGCAACGACTGGACCTGCGCCCGTTTCGGAAGGTCAAGCAGATACACACGGCATCCACACCTCAACGAATAACTTCCCGTGCTTGCCGGGTCGCTGGGAAGCAAGAGCTTCGCTGAGTCATCGTGAATCCTGACTCTGTCTCGACGTCGTGTTTTGATTTATTTGGAGGACCAGGTGTTTCCAGGATGATTCGCCATTGAAAACACGCCACACATAGTCCAATCTTGCGCCAGCCGTCTGCCGGCAATTCAAGATCGAGCAATGTCGTACAGAAACTAAATGTTGTCGCTATGTAAAATGGTGAACTTGTCAATTCGAAGGTAAACGCGCTCTAGTTTGGGCGCGTGAAGGGTATCATTTCGATTCTTGTAAAGACGATGGCTGTATACGTTTGTCCAGGATGCTCCAGGAAACAAACCGGCAGACCCTCTGCGAGGCAACAGCTCCAACCTAAGACAAGCCATTGGAAGAAAATCAAGGCTGGCTCATTTGCCGGCAGCCTTTCGCTGCTCCATCACTCTCAACACATCAGCCGCATTGTTGGCGTCACCCTTCCTCTTCTTAGGGCCTCTCTTTCTCTTGCTCTTGCCGCCTTGACCGTCATCATCGTCTCCTTCGTTGCCCCATTCCGAAAGCTTGACCGGCGCATCATCAAAGTCTGCCTCGTCTTCGAACCTGCTGGTGCCGAAGCCCATATCCATGTCCTCGGCATCTCGGTCGACGCTCTGCAGCATCCTCTTGTGGCGCTCCCGACGAGCCTTGGCTTCCTCGTCGTCGTCGTCGTCCGCTTCTCCCTCTGGACCTGTGTTCGCCGCCTTGAGCTGGGCGGCCCTCTTGAAAGCAGCCTGTATCGCCGGGTCAGACATGGAGGGTCCTTGCAGGGTCTGCGAAGATATAAGGTCTGTCTTAGAGTCCTTGAAGTAATTGCGCGCTTGTGCCGGGCGCGGCGGTGGTGGCATCGCCATTGTGTCGGCACTGCGCTCGTTCTTGGTCTCCTTTTCGTCCTTGACCTCGCCCTCGCTTTCCTCATCAGAACTGTCGTCCATTCCAGCTAGCGGGTCATAGTCGTCTCCTGCATCGGCAAAGATGTCGTCATCGTCGTCTTCTTCAACTTCTTGCTGTTGCTTTTGGTAAAATTCGGGCACTTCCATACCCAACGGCTTGGCATCCTTGTCCGGGATGAACTCTTTGCGCATCTCCTCTTCGACCCCTGGCTGCAATTTGCGGACCTTCCTCTTCTCGTGACCATCTTCGTCGATGATGATTAAGACTTCGCGGCCCTTGCTATCCCGTTCGATGCGGCTTCCGGCCTGTTGCTTAGCGCCGATCTTCTTGAATTTGCTGTTCAGGGCGGCCTCTTGCTGGGCCTTGGCAGCCTCTCTCGCAGCCTTCATCTCGGCCAGGATCTGGTCGCGGGTTCTCTTCTTTCCAGGTGCAAGGGTCACAGGCGCAAGTTGGCCCTTCTTCTTCACTTTTTCCTTTTCGACAGCCTGCACTTCTGTTGACTCCAGCTCATCGAACGCATCGTCGACTTCCTCTTCCGGGGGTGCTTCCTCTTCTTCTGCGTCGTCCTTCTTGTCCCCATAAACGTCTTCGCCCTGTCGTATTCTTTTCAGAAGCTTGAAGTCCAATCCCTTGATTAGATGCGTGCTCGAAAGGTCACCTCCGGCGATTTCGCTGCTGAGCTTCTCGAACGTCGCTTGGTCAATCTCCTCGTTCTTCAGTGCTTCCTCAAGCGCCTTTATCCTTTTTGCGCGGTCATCTTCGTCGTCATCGGTTCGGTCTCGTGCTCGATCGACATAGCCTTCTGCAAGTCTTGAACCTTTCGGGGCTGATGTGCGAAATTTCTTCTGGGGCTGTCCTGCTTGATTCCTCTCCGCAAGTTGACGCGCAAACTCGTTCCGGCTATGACCAACTCCAACGGAACGTCTAATACAGAGTCAGTCGGTGATCCATCAACAGTTGAGACGGCAACATACGGAGTCATGGGGATGCTGGATCGCTGTCGGGATCCCAACGCGCTGCCGCCTGGTGTTGCGCTGCCTTTGGTTGAGGCATTGCTCGGCGACGCGGCCTTACCGGAGTCAGCACCCAAAAGCTTTCGGAACTGTTGATTATTCATGCTCGCTATTTCTCGCAAGATTGGGAGCAGAAAACCTAGACTCAACAGCCGCGACTGGGCTCAGGTAAGGTATCTAGAGAGACGTCGTCGGCGGAAGCTGTCAGTGCTCCCTGAGCAATTGAAGAACTTTGATTAGTCATGCGGATCCTGGGACGTGCAGACTACAGAACGCGACGGACCCACCCACTTAACGCGATTGCAGGCATCCACCTCGGCCGGGGCTCCGTCACTTCACCAACTGTCACCACACCCTTCTGTCGATTTACCTTACCTTACATCGAGAGCAACGACTGAACGCCGTGTTCACAACTTTCAAAAATGATCGATTTCAGTCCGCCGGCTATATGTACGGGTTGATCTGCAAGTAAATCTCCAAGTCGCCAGTCAAAAGACCGCCTCCACCGCTCACAGCACTCATACAGCCGTGAGTTTGCGCATCATCCGAGACAACCGACAGAATGGGTAGTCGCCTTGAGAAGAACTCCTCGCAGGTGAGGAAGAGGATTGAGGGCCATGAGTTCACCGACGAGACTGGCGAAGAGTATGAGCAGAGCGCTTTCGGCGGCTTTGGAGACTACTTTCGTCGGAAAAAGATCAAGTTGCAAAACTTGGACGCCGACATGCGCGCCGCCTCAAGCGAGAAGCCTCAAATATTCAAAGGGGTCGTTGCGCATGTTATGGGCTATACGCAACCACCACTTCACATGTGGGTCACTGTCTGTGACTCTGACACGTATAAAAAGTCGCTAACCAACATGTCAGCCTACACCGCGAGCTTGTTCAACATGGCGCTGGCTTTTTGCAGTATCTGGATTCAAAGACCATGGCAACGCACATCATAGCGTCTTCTGTTCCGCCTAAGAAGTCCATGGATTACAGCAGGTATAGACTGGTCAAGCCAGCCTGGGTCACGGACTCAATTAAGGCTGGGAGACTACTTCCCTGGTCGGATTATCGAATAAATAACCACGATGGACCGCGTCAGAAGGTATTCAAAATCGATGAGTCCAAAAAGCTCAGTCAATCGACACCACAAGTGAAAAGAGGTTACAGAGATCAAACCGATGCCAGCTTTTACACCAGCCAATTCAAGGGATCTACAACAAGTCCCGCGACGCCATCTTTGAGTCGTTTCGCTGAACGATCCGAGTCCCCGCTCGCTCAACACCATGGTCGCAGTTCGTACAGCCCATCTGTGTCGGGGACTATGAAGAAGCCGCCACTGAAGCTAAAGGACGATGTCGAAGAGTTTGATGACATGGAAATTGACGAGCTTATGGTCGGCATAGTCCCAGAGGAGGACAAAGCAGTCAAAGTGGAAAAGGTTGAAGCAAATACCGTACCACCAAAAGCTGAAGAAGAGCCCACGCGAGGAACCGAGGAAGCTAAACAGGAAAGCAAGTCGTCAGAGGATATGACGTCCGAGGAACACAATGCCGTACTCCTCTCGGATCCCAAGATCTGGAAATCATCAACGGCGAATCCCGATTTCTTGAAGCAGTTTTACTCGGAAAGTCGTCTCCATCACCTTTCGACCTGGAAAGCCGAGTTGAAGTCGAAAATGCAGAATCTTGCCAAGGAAAAGGGGCCATCTCTCAAGTCAGTGCGGAGGAGGCCAGGGTCGCGACGTTACATTATCCACGTCGATTTTGACAGCTTCTTCTGCGCTGTTTCCCTCAAGAAGAACCCACAATACGTCGACAAACCAACTGTGGTAGCTCACAGCAGCGGAACCGCCTCTGAGATTGCAAGCTGTAACTACGTTGCGCGCAAATTTGGAGTCAAGAATGGCATGTGGATGAAACGAGCACTCGAGCTGTGTCCGGATATCAAAGTCTTGCCGTACGATTTTCCCGCGTACGAGGAAGCTAGTCGTCTGTTCTACGAATCGATTCTCGATCTCGGAGGGGTTGTTCAGAGTGTCAGCATCGACGAGGCTCTCGTCGACATCACGTCAATCATTCTCTCCTCCACTGGATCTGATGGCACCGGGGTTGACGAAGGCAGTGTCTGGAGAGAGCAGGAGAAGGCCGAGGAGATTGCTCTCACCCTGCGCAATAAGATCAAAGACGCGACTGGCTGCGCGGTATCAGTGGGAATTGGGGCCAATATCTTGGTAGCCAAGGTCGCGCTACGGAGAGCGAAGCCCGCCGGACAATTTCAAATCAAGCCGGAGCAGGTGCTAGAAGTCATCGGCGAACTCGAGGTGAAAGACCTACCTGGGGTCGCATACAGTCTCGGTGGAAAGCTTGAGGAGATTGGTGTTAAGTTCGTCAAAGACATCAGACAGGTATCCAAGGAGCGGCTATCCTCTTCGCTTGGTCCAAAAACAGGAGAAAAGCTATGGGAATATGCTCGCGGCATTGACAAAACCGAAGTGGGTGAACAAACACCCCGAAAGTCCGTCTCGGCTGAGGTCAACTGGGGCATTCGCTTCATCAACCAGCAGGAAGCTGAGGAGTTCATCTTCAATCTCTGCAAAGAGCTGGAGAGACGACTGCTCAGCGAAGAGGTCAAGGGCAAGCAGTTCACCATGAAGATTATGCGCCGTGCTCAAGACGCACCCCGAGATCCACCGAAGCATCTGGGGCACGGGAAATGTGATTCGTTCAGCAAGAGCATTTTGTTTGGGGTTGCGACTCACAATGCCGAAACCATCGCTAAGGAGGCTGTCTCGATTCTTCGTTCATACAAGTTCACCCCGGGTGACCTGAGAGGTCTTGGTGTCCAGTTAACGAAACTGGAACCCCTCAGATCTAGCACCACTGGGCGGGAGAGCAGCCAACGACGGTTGGCGTTCCCAAATTTTGGTGGCCAACCATCAGCAAAGAAAGCTCAAACGGATCTGATTGAGGATTCAAAGAGTCCTCAGAAGACAAGGGATATCCAACCCCGTGGTGACGTTTCCCTAGATCCCATTGCGGATGACCCCTTAACACCCAGAAAGCCCAAGGTGCATCCTGCTTTGGCTCTAGCACGGGCCGGTGAAAGGGATGAGAAGGCCCATACTCCCCTCAACATCATGGGCACTCAGTTCATCCTACCGTCTCAAGTTGATCCTGCGGTCTTAGCTGAGCTGCCAGGTGATATCCGGGCTAAACTTCAACGGGGCCAAAGGCCAAAGCCAGAGCCAAGGCAGGCATCTCCCCAGGTGAAGTCGCGGAGTAATAGCCCAGCGGTTCAGGACGAGATGATCCCTTCTCAGGTCGACCCGGAGGTCTTCAACGCTTTGCCCGAAGACATGAAGGCCGAGGTCCTGGCGCAGTATGGACGCAAAGCGGTGCAACAAACCCGTTTGCCGCAATCACCACGCAAGGACCGGCTGATTCAAGGAAGAAAGCCAATAACGCCGACAAAGCGAGGTGGTAGGACCTTGTTCAATGCCAGGGAGAGGCAGCAGGATGCAGCTGCCAACCGCCAGCAGACGAACTTCTTGGCGAACAAAGGCCCCGCGAACGCCGCTCAGGAAGAAGAGCCAGATGAGCTGGACGAAGCATTCCTCGCAGAGCTCCCAGAGGACGTCCGGAAGGAGATCATTGAGGACCACCGCAAGAAACGGCTGGCTAAACGATCTGGTCTCCTATTCAACGCTCCCAGAAGGCAACAAAACGGCGAGTCGAGCGACGCCGCACCCGCCGGACAGACCAAGCTGCAGTTCCCTGCGCCGCCGCCCAAGATGAACTTCATGGGTTCCGCCGTGAAGTCGGTCCAGGAGATCAAGGACATGCTCGAGGCCTGGCACGACGGGACGCGGTACGATGGGCCGCACCAAGACGATGTCAAGGTCTTTGAAAAGTATCTCGCCAGGGTCGTCTCGGAGGAGCGAGACATGGAAAAGGCTTCGAGGCTGGTGCGGTGGCTCGACTGGCTTGTGGAGGACGACGGCAGCGAGGGACGGGGCAAGCAGGGGTGGAGGAAGACTGTTGCGGATAATAAAGCGGCGGTGCAGAGGGCTGTTGAACAGAGGGGCCTGGGTCCCGTGAGATTATGAGATGACTGTTCTTGTACACCAGTCACAAAGATTATGATAGGATACCATTGATTGGGTTTGTGGTTTGGCATCGATTTATCTTATGCAGGGTTTCCGAAGCGGGCACGGAATTGGAGAAAAAAGAAAGCATCGTGATGTCTGACTTTGTGACCTCACATGTGAAATGTGCGTTGAGATGTCCGCTGCGAGAGTGAGACACAAATCATCAATTCAAAGACGTTCTATAGGTCCGAGAAACACTCATGGCCAGGGGGGGTATCCTCCAAGAAACAATAAAACGCTGCTGTCGTGTAACCATTCTTTTCGCCATTCGAGAAAAAAAAAAGACTTCCAATACCATCGTGACACCTCATTACCAGATCATCACACTTACAGCAACACGTACGTCGCCAAGCCGCCCACGACAACCGCGGCCCACGACGCGGCCGCGGGCGAGGACCAGGACCGCAGGCCGGCGCTGACCATGTAGACGCTCAACTTGAGCGCGCCGCCGCAGACCATGCCCTGGTTGCCGTCGCAGGGGAGGTTGCACTGGCTGTCGTCAAGCTTGACGGCGAGGCCCGAGATTCTCTGGGCGCACCAGCATTCACTATAATTGAATCGTCAGTTTTACTTCTCATCTAGAATGCCGTAGCAGGGCCCTCTGTCTGAAAGCTTCGAAGCTCCAGGCAGGGGGAGGGGGAAGAAGTGGAAGAAGAGAACAAGAGAAACGTACCGAGAATACTCGACGCCGGCGTAGGTATACTGCTTATCGGCTCCGCTGTTGCAGAAGCTGAGGCACAGGGGCACCGTCATGTTGCCCTCCATGACCTTGGATGCGCCGCCCGAGAGGGCGCGGTCGTGGGCCGTGTTGGGGAGGTCGTTTGTCTCGTTGAAGCAGCCTTGGTACTTGTACTTGTCGGAGGCCGTGTAGATTGAGAGCTGGGCCGCCGCGAGGGGCGCGAGGACGGCGAGGAGGAGGAGACGGGAGAGGAGGGTGTTACGGGCCATTGTTGTCGGTTTTGGGGGTGGTCGAAGCGGGAGATGGATCGATTGTAGTTGGGATCTCGTTTCTGTCCTTCTCTTGTGCTATCTATTGAAGATTCCTGGTGAAAGCTGTAGGAAGTTCGGCAGTGGCGGAATCGTCGATTATTGTTCCTTGCGCGCGAAGACGGTTATCGAGAGCTTATCTGGAACCAAACAAAGGCAACCCGGGTATCACAAGTCGTAAGGGGAAATTGGGATACGGGAATGGCGCATTCTCATACTGAAGTCATCTCTTCGTTGGTTCTGCTTCAAGATGTCCTATCACTAACCCCCGAAATGAGTGAACGAGTGAAGTAAAAGAGCGTGTAGGCAAGATCAAAGAGAGAGAGGAAAGGAAAGAAAAAAAAAGATCAGCAGGCTAAATCACTCTTATTCCGTCCGGGCGGCGCGAACACCCTTCAAGGAGATTTGCACACCATCACTGCGCCCGATGAGGCTGGAAACCATTGGTGGTTTGGGTTTAGTGCCCAGACGCTACCTCCCGTCGACACAAACGGGAAATCTCACATCAGGTCCCGCCAATGTAGTTTTTTTTTAAGCGTCCGGGAGTCCGTTAGTGTAGAGGTCTCGCGTGGTTTAGGCTCAGATACTGCACATCTCAGGGGAGGGGCCCTTGTTCGCACCTTTCGGGAGAATAGTGAGGTCTGTCTCCACTACAGCTGAAGTTTGGGGCGTGTTCTAGACCGTATTGAGATGGGTGAGATTCGATGAGTTGGGGTGTGGTCCGTGGGCGAACTGGCGCCAGGGTTTGAGGGCGTGAGGACGATGATTTCCAGCTGTTTGCACTACGAAGGATGTAAAGCAAACATGTTGTTTGATGCGAATCCGGCGTTTCTTTTCAGATGGTCACTTCATCAACTCAGAGTTCATACCATTTTTATTTTTTATTTTTTTGTATGTTATTATCATTATGAATTCTTTGTTTTGCAACCAAATCTCGTTCTCAGGTTCTCTACCACGAGATGAATCACCACGGGCCATGGTTTGCTCTATTAATTAGACCGAGAGGCGTACCGGGCAACAGATATCTTCCAACAACGAAGCATTAGTTACTGCCAAGCCGCGTATCCCTCTCTCACTATCTTCAGTCTCTTCTTCCCATACACACGGTCATTGACGGTCCTTCAGCAGCTGGGCGTTGCCTCCGATTTCATCACGGCAATGACTAGCTCCGGGTTCCCTTTCAGGATGGCCGAGCGTCTGGCCTTGACAGATATCCACTGGTATGCGGTCCCGGCGAGACCATCTCTGATGGTGTTGAGCCTCTTCTTTCTGGAGGAGACAGGCAGCTAGCTGCTTTGGATTCGACCTCTGCTCTCCGCGCTGGCCTACCAGGTACGATGGTAGAACACTGCTCTGAGAGTTTTGGAACTCGCAGCGCCGGTCCGGGTATCTTGGAGCGTCGTCTGCTATCCGACAGAGGCCCACCCGGTTTAGTGATGCAGGTCACCGCGAGTTCTGTGTATATTCCCTCGCCTCATAAACGCTCAAATACCTTCGTGCGTTGCTTCGTCTTTAATCATTCGCCGTCATCACCTCAACCCATCAAAGTCATAATCATAATGCGTCACTAGTACAGCGTCAGCAAAGATACACATCCAACTCCCAACCGAGAGAGATCCCCAAGGAGCAAACTTACAAAGCGCTAATCTCCAAGTCGCCAAATATCCTCGCCTTGAGAGTTACCTCAATATCAAGATTCAGCCCCAAATGTACCGAAAACCCCCGACTCTCGGACCCGGCATGCTTGTGCTTTTGCTGCCTACCCGGCCTCATCTTCCGGGATCTCCCCCGCCGTCCCCGGCCGAGATTTTGACTAATCTGCCGCAGCGGAAACTCTCGTTCGGATTCAGTTTCCGAAGGAGACATGTCCGTCGCCGGCCCCGCTAACACGGCCGCGGGCGGCGGGGCGGGAAGGTCGTAGTCTATTATCGGTTGGTCATTGTCGGGATCTTGTTGTGCGGGCTCGTTGTTGTTACTGTCGCTCTCATCGTCGCCGCCCATGTCGATGAATGATGTCTGCTCAACTGGCAGTGAATTGTCAAAAGGCATCGGGCACCAGATGAATCTGTCGTCGGCAAAGGGCTCTACGGAGCCGTACATTTCTTTGGGGAGCCATACTGTCAGGCTGTCGCGTTTCGCCATCTCGTCTGGTCTTCTCTCTCTGTTCCTTTCTATAGCGAGTGTAGTATAAGCGAGTGAAGTATAAGCAAATAAGCAAAACAGCGAGAGTAGAAGAAGTGAGGGACAGTCAGAGAAAAACCTGACAAAAATGACGGGGTGTATTTCCTCCAACTCAAGAGCCGGAAAATGGGAAGAAAGTCATCTAAGTACGGCCAGTCCAGTCACCTCTTTCATCATATCCCCCAATATCAACCACCACCACCACCACCACCACCAACAACCATCCCAAAATCTTGGCACACAGCACCGAGCAGGATTCAAAGAGCCTGGCCGCCATCTCACCAGTCCCCATGGGGGGGGCCAGGTATCACTGCACAGCTCAATGAAATCATGTATGGGCCCGGGTTGTATTCGCTTCCCAGGGCGTGGCGTGAGCCGCGGGTGCGCCCCCCGGAGCTCTGGCCAAGAATCGACCGAGATCTGCAAGAGCCGATTGCTAAAAGGTGTGGAACCCGCCCAACGGTGCAAAGAAAAAACCCGGATTTTTGGCATCCATCTCTTGAAGGGGTCCCGTCCCGTCCTCTGCTTGCCTGGCGCACCACAAGCAAATAAGCACGCCGCTGATGACATCCTAACACCGCATCGTTATCGACTCGACCCCGTTTATTTACCCCCCATCGGCTTGGGTACCACTGCCGGGAAGGGGCAGCGTACTACGGATGTAAACCTGTCGGATGCTAATTTTGGAAAACGGCTCAGGGATCTTTGTGTCGTCGCTGAGATCGGAGGCTGAACTACTCGAGTACTCTGCTGATCAACTACTCTTCGCCCCGGTGTGAACCCTTCTGCTAGGTTAATCAGAGACCTTTCTTCCTTCCACCTATTGAAAGTCAGCCTCAAGAACATAGAGTCAAATCTCATTCTTTGCGTCCCTTTTCTTGTGCGTACACTGAGGCACTCTATGGATGGGAGACGAGTTGTAGTCTGGATGAGAGTGCGGAATTTGCCTGAGTTCTCGTAGTGATTCTGAGAAGAGGCGAGCGCTGGGTATGGTACGGAGTCGGCCGGCAACAGGTAGAACTAACTGTACCTTGAACTTGGTATAAGAAGCAGACCGGAGAACGACATTCCATCCGTCATGAACCGTCCTGGTTGGGGGAACCCATCGTTAGACTGTCAGTCTTAAATGGTTACTTGTAAAGGTCACCACCCAACTCAACTTCTTAAGTTGTCAACCATGGTTCGTTCCCAAGCTCCCCATGAACCACTTTAGGCGGCGGATCTCAACTCAGACACATTGCTCTTCTCCAGTGTTCAAGTCGCTCGCTTCATTTACGGACGAATACGAGCGGAACGCGGAACAACTGAGGATAAGAGGTGAGGTTAGGGATTTGTTTTGAGAGTGGGGTGAATGATGCATTATCGCCTTATGAAGGATATGATGAGCATCTGGATGATCGTCATCAACGTAGACGGATGCGTAGAAGGCGACAGTATAGAAAAGATCTAATAGAGCCTCAGACTTAAATATGTACGGAATATATTTCATAGTGTGCGTAAAGAAATTGGTATCATAGATCGACGCACCAACCTCACGTCGATCTCGAGCGAGTGAGTAGCTACAACTGTCCTGTCTTTCTTGGTAGCAGAGGCACGAATACCAATTCATGCCATGGCTACCATAGCAATACCCCTTTTCCTTTCCCTATCTGAATCGTCGCTGCAATGGTTATACCCAGTGACCTTCGATCTATCTTTCAAACGTGTTCTTCCATACCCCAACTCCGGTGCTATACTTCCAACCATCAAGTTCCAAACGTACAAAAAGCCTTGAAGCAATTGCCGACACACCATAGTGCCTCTCTAATGAGCCAATATTCAAAAGGTATCCTCACATCACAACACACTTCTTATCCTTCTCTGGTTTGCCATGAGCCGCATTCCTGCTAGACGTGGAAACTTCAGTCCACGCAGTAGAGCTGGCGACCTCATGATCAACCTGCTTCTTCTTTTTCTTCTTCTTCTGGGAGCCATTCCAGCCGCGTCGTTTGGCGTCCTTGATGTTCTTAGCTGCACTCCGCTCGGCACGACTGGGTCTTCTGTTCACCGAAGAATGCGGCTGTCGGCCTACAGACGACGTCGATGGCGCTTGTAACCACGCCGGCATGAGACTTCTGCTGCCCGAAGCTTCAGGTCGGTTTGTGGAGTTTGTGCTGTATATCGTTTCGAGGCGTTCCACCGTTGGTCGTACCGGACCTGACTGGGTCGGCCGTGGGTGACGCGGGATCGGTGCTAGTAATGGCATCTCGGTTCTGCGGTTCGATTGCTGACGAGTAGGCGCATCGAATGCGCCAGTGACGCCGCTAGGCGTGCTGATAATCAACGGCTGATCTTCGTACTGTGGACCAGCAACTTGATTCTGGTCCTGAACTTGTCTCTGAGCCTGAGAAGCAGGCTGCGAGACAGGCTGTGGCACAGACGCCCTGCGAGATCCAGGCCGGCGGCTTCCCACTGGTACACGCTGGACTGAGCTGAAGTTCCCAGAAAAGCGTCTAGATGAAGGCAGCTGTTCATGGCTCCGCAGACCAGCCAGTTGATCGGCCATTGGGAATGGCGGTAAAGAAGATCCCACAATATCGTCAACTCTTGCGTCAGTCGCAGGAGCAGAGTAGGGGTGACTGTTTAAGGGACCGCCATATGGACGAAGGTGAGATCCATCATCTGGCTGCGCAGATCTAGGCCAGGTTGACGCATTGGAAAGGCGCCTGCCCAACGGCAAATCAGTGGTAGATGCTGGTTGTGGCTGTCGCAGCTCTGCAGTATTTGCGGAGGAAGCCGACGGAATTTCCAGACCCAGCGAGGGAGGAGCCTGAACCTGCTGAGCGACCGGGGAGACGACCGCTTGTTCGGGAGAAACTGCCTCGGAATCTTGGTGCGACCCAGAACTTGATGGTCGAGCCTCCGAAACCTGGCTGACCATCCGCTGGTCTTCAGGAGAGATGGCATGAGTTTCGCTCAGTCTTCTCGAAGCCATCCGTGGGGAATCCGGTGGCGAGACGTCGTAGATATCGTCGTCAAGATCAACATGGGCCGAAGGGCTGGGCGTCGGACGAACTGCCGAGTCTGCAGTGCGTGGCCGGCTCATCAGCGTCGAGTCACTAGCTATACGCAGATGGTGGCTGGCATTAGCCGGGGGACTGTTGACCGGCTCTTGATAGCTTAGAGGGCGGCCGGATGATGGAGACAGAGCTGGTCGCGTCGGAGGCGCCCATGCTGATGCGCCAATGGCAGGCGCGGCTGTCTGGGTTCTCGCTGGCTGACTTGGTATCTGCACACCGCCAGGTGTGATGATGGCGTTCCGTAGGAAAGAGGGTAAGTCAACGGGATCGTCCTTTTGGTAGGGAGGCGGCGGCGGAACCCAGTTGTCGGCGTCGCTCTCGTGGGGATGCTCCCGTCGGCCATCAGCTCGCCGATACTCTACCGGTCCAGCTGCCGGCGGTTGCGGGTTGCGGCTTCGGTTCATGGCAGCAGCAGTGGCAGCGCGACGGAGAGTGTTGGTGGACCGGGGCCCGTCATGGGAGTAAGGGGCTTCGACTGCTTCTTCTGCCTCTTCTTCTCCAATCATCGAGGTAGTCTCGCCTGCCCCAGGTGCCGAAGGTGAGGTTGGCTCTTGAACATTGATACGTGGGGCTGCTCCAATTCGTCTTGGGACGAGGGGGTCATCCTCGCCATCGCCGTTGTTGGCTTCTCGTTCCTCTCTGGGTTGGGGCATGGGCGGCATCGACGGCATCGACGACATCGATGGCATAGGGTTGCTCCGGGCTGCAGCACTCGTGGCTGCACGCATCAAGGCACCGCGATCTCCCCGTTTCTGAGCCACAGTCCTGCGACGTACAATAGCCACTTCGGTATCGATATCTCTTTGCTCCTCTTCGAGCACCTCAGGCTCTTTGGTGCCCACTTCAATCTCAATCTCTGTTCTAACACCGTCTTCGATGCTGTAGTCAAAGTCCAGGAGGGTAACTCTGCCGCCATCAATGAAGTCGATATCATCCTCCTCAATGATGGATTTCCCAGGAGAGATGCCTCGGGCCGCGATGACGAGACGCTCCTGGGCCGATGTCTGACCAAAGCCCGCGACCCATTTCACCGTGCTCACACCGTCGAGTTCGGCAATTTTGGCGCCCCAGATGAAAGTGTTCCGGAGCTTATCACACAACATTTGCCATTGAGGGATCCTTGGATTCTCCTGCGCCCTAGACGATGACGAACGCGAAGGTGGTCCACTATTCCTTCTTGCTTGTCCGGCCAAGGCTGACAATCCATCAGTTCCTGAGGAGTTGAACTCGGGCACGGCGTCGAGGTCTTCGGGGACACCATAGAGCCAGATATCCTTTCCTTGGAACCCAGCACTGACAAGATCTCCGTGGAAAGTCGCTGCGGGAAGAGTGCAAGGAGTGAGCTTAGCCTGGGATCCTGGGTCGGGTTTCGGGCCCGTGAAATATGTTGTTCCGTTTCTCAGATCATCAATGCGTACGGCCCTGAACGTCTCGAAGCTACGGTCGTATGTGAAAGTCCAGCTCGCTTCTTCTTGTGCAGAGTCTTGCAACAGTACCGCATGACTGCAGTCACGACTGGTATTGGGGAACAGGATAGACGTAGTCCAAAGCGCGCTGATGCTATCGTCGGCCATTTGGTTGCCAGGGTCATAATACGGAGCTGTGAGGATGACTGTGGTTGGTGGCGATGAGTGAATTGTTGTTCCAAGAATCTGGGTGCCGTCGAACGAGAAAGACAAGGAGTCGACTCCGTCGCATTTGACAGCTCGTCTATCTGTAGGTAGCGCGCCAGGGTTGACCAGGGATACTTCGATACCTCCTTCGTACGCAGCAGCTAGGACAGAACCGCAGGGCGAGAGAGCAATAGTGCGCGGGGCATGGTCTAAGATCAGAGATTGGGTGCGGCGGGGCGGTGACTGCTCCAGATCGTAGAGGTCGACCTGCATTTCGGAAGACAATACAGCTAGCATGGAGCCATCGTCCTTGATACAGGTCGAGACGGGACGACGCAATATCTTGAACTCCCTCTTGACATCGATATCCTTCCCCCGCACATCGAGCACGTAGATTCGAGATGAGTTGTAGGCTAGGACGTGGTGACCGCGAGGCGACGGGCTGAATTGCATTCCCTCGCCGCCAGGGCATGACGAGGAGCTAATGGAGTTGGAAATCAACTTTATAACGGTTTCGCGGGGTCGCAAGTATGCCTCGAAAAGGTTGCGCTTAACCTCTCTGGCGAATAATCGCCTGAGGCGCGGAAGGTCTTCGTCTCTGACATCGGTATCGCGAAGCTGAGGATGGCTCGAGGCGTAGGATTCGCATTTGAAGAGGTGGAAGGCGTAGAGCTGTGCCTGCTGGGCAACTGATCGCCATTTCGAGTTGAGGAGGACGAGAGACGCGAAGGAGTCGGGGTCGGTAAGCTGTAATATCCTGTGGCCAATGTCAGTCAATCTGTAGTAGAAGGTATAGAGATGGCAGGGACACAGCCATACTGTTGAATAATCTCGTCCGGGAGGCGATCAAAAGCGGGATCCGGGGCCAGGATGGGGGGTTTGTCAATGGACGACCGTGATCCCACTTCCCCATGTCGGCCAGCGTCAGTGCTGCTGTCCATCATGGACCAAATGCAGCCAGCCCGATTGCTTGCTTGCGGCGAAGTTGCTGTCGCTTCGAGGCTAAGAGAGCGAAAGGCGGAAGGAAGTTGACATGATGAATCGTCTGGAGTTTTGGAAAAGGGCCGTTGTTGAGACGAAGGAGGAAAGGCAGCGCAGTGCAGCACTGTAGCCGGAGAAGTAGAAGCAGAAGCAGAAGCAGGAAAAGGCGTTAGAGGCAAACGCAAGGACAACAGTTGCAGGAAGCACAACAGTAGGAGCTGAGTGTGGGATCACAGACTTTGTCTCTATTGGTCTTTGGTCCTTTAGGCTGGGACTTGTCGACTTTGGGACTTGGGGGACTTGGACATGCGGCTGCGCGGTGCGAACGCAAGCAACATGTGGCGGAGCGACGCTACTGGACCACCTGAAGTTAGACCACCTCATCAGGTATCTACTTTTGTATCTTTGTATCAGTGGATGGGTGGTGAATGATGGACGCTGTACGGAGTACCTAGGTGCATTTCTTGTCTGCCTGCTCACTCTGCCCCCCCTCATCCCCCCCCTGCTCCCCTGTTCCTACCCACTGATTTGGCGCTAATCATCGGCGTTGGCACCTTATCGGAAGGTACCCGACCAACCCGAGCTGACCTTGCCTAGATCTTTCGTTCCATGGGCCCTTGGAGTTTCTTTCCGCAGGCAAACACACTCAAACGGACCAGGGGACCCCCTTTCTATCAACAAGGCGTGACGACCTGCACATTCCAAGTCCTTTTCGTTAGGACATGGGAGTGCGCACAAGAACTTGGGCCAACGGTCAAAGGTCATGAAAGTGGATGTTGCATTCTTCTGAGGTGCTCTGCAACACAGTCCAGGCTCACAACACCACCAGCAACAACACTGCATCAATGGCAACCAACATGCATCCCACTGCAACCATAGTTATACACACTTAGCCGCTAGCTCTACCGTTGACATCTCGACAGTGGGAGCACTAGGGGAAGGTCAGAGATACCTAGAGGCCTTGCCTCAGGGACACAAGGCTTCGTCAGGCCAGTTGGAAGCTGACAACATGAGGCTGAGTCTTGAAACAATGTAACAGCAGCAGACTCTCTACCACTTCATTGGGCTTACTCTGGCTACCCTTATCTTGGCTTCTCCTTGCCTCTTCACTATGTGGCCATCGTGAGTCTTCAGTGTCTACTTCAGACACAACATCAAACTGGTGGCGGCTGGCTATCCGCTCAGAACCAACAGAGAATGGTGGACTCGTTTTCTGACTGGTGCAGCTTTGACGCTGTTGGGGAAGACATTGAAACAGGGATGCGCAGGCTGAGCGGCAACTTGCGAATCGCGACATGCAGGGAGAGAGCCTACTATCAACTGTGTCAAGTTGAGCCCCGAAGGTGTTAATCAAGTGTCTTTTGGCAGCCACCAGTCTCATCTCGACATAACTCTACCACGTCCACAGAGTACCAGTGAGGTGGATGCCTCAACCGCCCTACATAACTCTCTTCCAACAGTCCTCTCTTCCAACACCAAGAAAGCCCAGCGGCTCGCCAAAGTTGCAGAATTTCCGAATGCGGATGCGCAGGATATATCGTCGTGGTTGCTTTGAACCTTCAACTTCTTCCCAACGGCCAACCACAGCGAGACGCCAAACACCCTCCGGGCGAAAGGTGATGCTATTTTTGGACATTGTGGTTGAACACCACATGTGGAGTGGGTGCCTCCACGGCAGAACCCGCCACTGGGAGACGTTCGTCAAATAGACATAGAGTACGCCATGTGTAAGACAGCCTGATGCCATCTTATATTGTTCGAAGCAGTCCCGTCTTACCAACGGTATCACGAGACAAGTCAGCTGGCTTCAATCTCTCGATTCCTAGTTTTTTCGAGGTGCCGGCTTACCTAACCCGGACACGACTCGGCACCGAGTCGGAATACGACAAAACTGGACACCCGAGGGTTGAGAATGTCTCGCCGGCGCTATTTCTGGACCTGTGCTTGCGAAGTTTTCCCATGGCCGCTGGAGACCTTCCCCAGTATTTCTTGCTTCATATAAGCAACGGTCCCTAGGAAGATGCCCATATTCACCCCGACTGAATGCTACCAAGAAAGGAGCAGTGACGCCAAAAAGCAGGGAGCGACAAGAGCTCTGTGACAGCGGATAAGGATCAACAAGAATTCCTCGAGTCTTGATCCTTGGCACGGAGGGGAACATGGTCAACAGTTGAGCAAGGATAGAAGCTCGTCGACTGGCTACAGCCTACGAGAACGCTGAAGCCTCATCTATCAGATGAAGCGCCAAGCCGGCAGCACCCTGCGCAGAGGGAGGAACCGTAGTCCCCTACGCGTGCGTGGCGTGTTCGTGTCGGGAGCTCTCTGTTACCGGTGCTGTTTGAGCCTGGAAAAGTTCATTTTTGTCCCCTTTTTCAGGATGAACCGAGTGGCCGTGAACCAGAACTAGACAATTTGGCAATTGATGAGAAAGGCTTCAACGGAATGTTTGCGGCACTTTTGCTCCGAATCGATTTGATAGATGACGATGCCCTAGTCTCTTCCTCGGTGAACCAGTGCCGTCCTATTACCGAAAACAGCGAAATCCCGGCTCTTCGGCGACATGTTGTTGGTCCCCCTGGCGGGGGGTTCGCCGGGTCTCTTTGCAAGGACTTTCTACCTTCCAGAATGCTCCTGGCCAGCTTTACCTGCGCGTGTCCGTCAAGCCGACCAGCAAAAGACACAAGCCCTGGGCGACGTCACTGCAGATGGGCACTACTTGGCAGTGCGCTGACACAGCCCGTGCCCCCTATCAAGTCTGCAGCGCGCAGCAAGCATGGGGGCCCCAGCGTGGAATCGTGGATGGGAGATGGCAGTTGTACGAATAGTGCGTGAGGTGGGCATCATCACCCCAGAAAACCCGCTTTCCCACCTCCCGTATCCCTTCTTCCGTGAGGTAACACAGAGTTGGGGTTGGCCGTAGCAACTGGGTAGGCCAAGCCAAAGTTAACAAAGACATGCTCGGCGTCGCCAAGGTTTGACACTCCATAGTATCGTTCTCAGCGATATCAAATCGTCATTCTATTCCGTAGGCGGTAGTCCACCCATTTCTCTTTGGATCCGATCAATACATCTACAACCTCTTTTTCGTCCCAGGCTATCCCGCAGGTCCATCCATCTACGATCCCCCTCAAGACTCATCTTCGGCGTCTTACCCGCGCCATCTCACTGCTGCAGAGAGTCTGTGAGACTGGCACGGATCCCTCCTCGGAAACGACATGCAGCAGCCGCTAGTTTAGCCTCATTCTCGCATTCACTCATTCGCACTCTCACTGCTCCTCCGCCTTCTCTTCCTCCTCCTGCTTTCCCCCGCTCGGCTTTGGGGCTCTAGTCTCCCGAAGCAAGCAGACGGCTTCCCACGGTGGCTCTCACGTGGGATCGCGCAGCGCCGCCGCAGCCCGCGGGACCATATGACCTCGGACCATGTTCACCCCTCCTTCGACCCGTCATGGAGACGAGGAAGTTCAACTGGCGGAGATACTCTGCGCCAGTTGTCATCGCCAGCATGATCCTCGCGGCCCTCTCCGTCGTCCTCTACTTCAACATTCGTGAATATCTCGCTGTTCGAGATGAGGTCCGATTTGATGTCTCAACTTTCCCCCAAAAGTTTCCCTGGCGGTACGTCGCACAAGAAGTACTGACGCTGCGTCACAGGCCAACCTGCCGAGGGTCACCGTCGATCTCGGCTACGCGAGGTATGCCGGGAATTCGCTCCCGAGCGGTGTGAACCAGTTTCTGGGAATGCGGTATGCGGCGTCTCCGATAGGAAATCTGAGATGGCGAGCGCCTCAAGATCCCGAACCGAAAGAGGGCACGACAGATGCCATCGATGTAAGGCGCGGGGTTGTGTTGTTGGATCGATTGACACCTCGCTGACAGAACACTTAGTTTGGGCCGATTTGTCTGGGGACGGATGTGACTTATCCTACTTCTGGTCAAGACGAGGACTGTTTATACGCCAACGTCTGGTCACCAACAAACGCGACGGCTGACTCAAAGCTTCCTGTTTGGTTGTTCATTCAAGGCGGTGGTAAGGTCCCTCCACTCATAAAGCACTGCCCCATTCAGAGATGAGAGTTGGGCCGTAGCTCTTCCCTTATCCGTCTGTCTTGCAGTAAGTTCTTATCTGACACGATTTTAGGGTACACTTCAAACGCCAATCCGAACTGGAACGGCTCTCAAGTTGTAGATGTCTCGGGCAAGAATATCGTTTTTGTGAATTTCAACTACAGAGTTGGATTGTGGGGATTCCTGGCGAGTGAGCGTGTTCGAAAAGACGGCGAGCTGAACGTGGGACTCTTGGACCAGCGATTAATGATGAAATGGGTTCAGACTCATATCTCAAAGGTGAGTTCTCATCCCACTTCACGTTATTTTCAGCCATGCTCACACGCTCTGCAGTTTGGCGGTGACCCAAATCATGTAGTTATCCACGGCCTCTCGGCCGGAGCAGGTTCAGTCGCTCTCCATCTCGCAGCCTACGGCGGACGCGACGATAAGCTCTTCGCAGGCGCCATGTCCGAGTCGGTCTTCTTTCCCGCGCAGCCTCATGTTCCAGAGCTTGAGTACCAGTTCAACCAGACGCTGGACAAGTTGGGCTGCACGGATGACAAGGACCAGATGGGTTGTTTGCGCGGTAAAGACATCAAAGCGATTCAGGATGCCAACATCGCATCACCGTTTCCGGGGAGGTTGGCAAACCCGCACTTTTACTGGACTCCATGTATAGATGGCGACATCCTGCAAGATTATCCGTACCGACTCTTCGAAAAGGGTTCTTTCATCAAAGTTCCCGTCCTCTTTGGGACAGGAAGCAACGGTTAGTCCCGCCATCCTATTGCCGCAATGATCAAGGTACTCACACACTCCTCCAGAGGGATCCGTCTTCGCCGCCAACGTCGCAACCCAGGACCAGTTCGTCTCCTTCATGACAGACAACTACCCCAAACTCACAAAGAACGAAACCGACCCGATGCTGCAAAAGTACCCCCTTCTCCCACAGCTCCCCAACCACAACATCTGGTTCCCGTCCACCAGCCAAGCCTACGGCGAGACGACCTTCATCTGCCCCGCCAACACCATCATGAACGCCTACGCGGCCGCGAATCGCTCCGGTACGAGCTGGTCCTACCGCTTCAACGTCCAGGACAACGACAACACGGCCTCCGGTCTCGGCGTCCCACACGTCTTTGAGGCGCCCGCCGTCTTCGGCATCGACGCGTGCCCGACGCCCGACAGCTTCCGGACATACAACCGGCCCATTGTCTCGCTGATGATGAAGTACGTCATCTCGTTTGTGCGCGACCTGAATCCCAACACGTTCAAGCTCGCGGGTGCGCCGGACTGGGGCGATTGGGGACGGAATCAGTCGCGGTACGTGTTTGAGTTGAATAAGAACCGGATGGAGAACGTCGATGACGGGCAGAGGGATCGGTGTAACTTTTGGAAGGGGATCGTGGAGGTCATGGAGCAGTGAGGAGGGCCATTTCTTGGATATAGAGTGCTGCGGGCCACGGATAATGAGGCGTTTGCATCTGGTGGTTGGGTTCTTTGTTTTATCTGTGCATACGAGTAGATGGCATATCGGGTTGATACCAGCATTGGATGATACACATAGTGTGTCTATTTCAGTTTTTTTCTTACCGCATAATTTCAACGTTGCTCTTGCACTACATGTCTGTCCCTTTTGAAGATGGAAGCTTTTTTTTCCATTTCCTTCCCTAAAATGAGAACTCAAATCCTACAGCATGACAAACTTTTCAGAGCAACAAGAGGGAGTAACTGAATATCACCAAAGTATTTTGACACGATAGACTTACATGCGATCCAGAGGAAGTGGAGACGGTAGAAAAACTACCAGGGAACGAACCTAGCGAAACTGTGCCGCAAATTCGGGCATCCGACGGGGCTAACCTGCATGGCGTACACGTATGCTCTGCGTATCGTCAGTGAACGAAGCCCGAACTGGATAGTTGCGTCACGGCATGGTGCCACATTCTCTTCCATGCCCATGTGACTGACGTTGTCAGCCTCAACCGATGGCGCGGCGCAAGGCAGCTGCCTCAACATTCGATGAGCCCGCGAATGCTCGTGGTTCATCTCATACCCTCAAATAAAACTCATGTCGTGAGATGAATCATTTGGTTTGATTTGAGTCTACACAAGCTCTCCTGTCTCATTCAGAGCGATCACGGAGTTCAGTTCAAATTCACGCTAGAGGACCGGGGTTCAAAAATCAAGATGCCTTCCAAGGACCTCCAAACTGAGGGGCCACAGAAGGATGAGGAAAAGTCAAAGTATGAAGAGACGCCCGCCCTCGATGACGCGGACTGGGAACATGTTGGGACGCCTGTTGATGAAAAAGGTATGCTGGTGTGTTCATTATGTACTTTCTATGGTTGGAAGAGTCTGATGGAGTCTGGATATTGACGGCGGGGGGTAGGGCCAAATGATGAAGTGTGTGCGGAAGACAAGGAAACTAGCCTGGAGAGAAAAGCACCCTCCAAGACGACGGAGCACCGGTGGCGGCAGCTTCGAAGACAGGAGGATGAGGCGAGAGGGAGTGTTGTTCCTGAGCTTGTGAGTTTTTGTTTCTTTTTGATATTGCGGGAGAGGTAGTGAAGCTGACGATGTGTGTTGTCAATGATAGCTTTTCTTTCTAGCTGGATTGTTTTTATGGGCTTAGAATCGTTTTGGGGGGGTGTCGGAAAGCGAAATATACAACGCTAGGCTCTGAGTATTGAACGTTCCGACCTATCCTATTTCCCTCACTTGTAACAAAGTAGCCAGAATACCCTAGTCTGTGACTTGGTATTATGGCTGTCTCTCTTCCCTCATGAGACACCATCGCAACATATCAACTACCACCAACGACGTGAAAACGGCAGTCTAAAGGGGGGGGGGGGGGGGGGGGGGGGGGGGGGGGGCTTAGTTTCGCCCATGAACGATCCATCAATAAGAATCCTTCCTTCTATCATATGGAAAGACTTTCCTCTACATCAGGTTTCCGCCCAATGATACAATATCTAGGAGTACAATCAGTTCGCAAGCCCAGGCAACTAGAAGGGAAGGGGGCGGGGGGGCGCAAAGTTCTACTCACGCCGGCATATAAGCATGAATAGCCTTATTCCTAAGATCATTCCGGACATTAACGAGAAAGACATTGACCTCCTCGGGCGACCACTCGTACGCGCGCGTAAACGCCGCCATCGTAAAGGCCTCCATCCCCGTCGTGCCGTTCTCGAGCTGGATCCGGCCGAGCTGCTTGTACTTGGGGTCCTTGGGCCACTCGTTGAGCGGCCACTTGAAGGTGGTGATGGACACGTCGACGAAGCCGGCAGCCTTGAGGTCCAGGGACTTGGGGTCAATGTAGGGGCGCCCGAGCTTCTCCGAGGCGCCGTGGAGGAGCTTGCTCCACTGCGAGAGCGCGTGTTTCTCCGTGAGGGTGCCGTCGTCCGAGGTGACGAAGATGTCGAGCTCTTGCAGCTCGACCCAGCCGCCTGGCTCGAGGTTCCTTTTTTTATTTTACCTTGTGTTAGCCTTGGATTTTATCGTCATTTTGAGTGGTTTTCATAGAGAACGTACTTGTAAATTTTGCGCAGATATGCGTCCCAGTCGTTGACGGCGCCTGTCATGACTCTGCTGTGGATGTAGTTGAATGGACGGGACCATGTCCAATCCTCCTCAAGGTCATCGATTTCGAATTTGAGGTTAGGCGGCACGCTACACCCATGATCAGTGAAGCCCAACGAATGAAGTATTCGGCTTGTAGCAGTAAACAAGCCTACGCAGAGGGGCACAAGGCGTACTACTCATTCAGGGGCGGCGAGAGGTCGAAGCCAATAACCTAGCAAGGAAACACGTTAGATGGGCTGCACAATCGGCCTTTGCGAATCCATGAATAGCAGTCTTGGATTTCTTCCTCACGTCCGACTCGGGATGGTCATCCGCAAAGTCAATGGCCCAGCTACCAGTACCGGTGCCGACGTCTAGGGCACGAGCACACGCAAACTTTGAGTCCTTCACGGCGGGCGGGGCGACGCCGGAGGCGAAGTCGAGAGAAATCAACCACAACTCATTCTCCAGCTCTGGTTGGGGTTTCCTGTCGTTAGCTGAGTGATTGACCAGCCAGCCAGCCAGTCAGGGGGCAATGGCATCAGAAGAGAAAGGTACCGAGTCTGTCCATCTCCCGCTCATCGTTGGGTTTCGTGTATTCTGCGTTATTGTCAGATGAGTCTCGATGTGTGAAGAGGGTAAGCAGTGTCATAAGAAAACTCACTGCCGTCTTTGTACCGGTGGTATGTCCTACCGTTCTCGAGGCGGTAATCGAGAACGGATTCGCGCAGACTTGTGCTGGACGAGGCGATCTGTTTGTTTGTTTGTTTGGTATCAGCGATGCCAATCCCGCTCCATTCATGTGCGTTTGCGGCAGCATGCGTATCTTACACTCTCAATTTCTGACTGGCTCTCATCCTCCTCGTCCCCCACGATCAACGCATCAGGATAACTCTCAATCGTCATCTTCGCTTACCAAGAAGAAACACTTGGCCGATCTCGAATGGAGTTGGTTGATGTCGAAACCCTCTTTTCAGATTTGTTTGCTAGATCCGCGAGAGACAAACGGGCGACGAGAGAGAGAGGGACTCAAAAAAGAGGGGTTGGGCTGGTATTCGGTGATTTTTTTGTTATGGACACGCCGGATCGGTCGAAAGGGCGGAGAAAAATCTCAAGATTCCAACATGCCACTCATGCGGCACAGCCGTTAACCACCCATCAACTTGTGGGACCTCCCATCGAAGAACGAATGAGCCGTGGGGGGAGGGGGATGAGGTTCATGGCCGGGGGGATTGAGTCGGGGGGGGGGAGATTCTGACAAGGAGTCTAGTTCCCATTTGCCATGCTACAGATTTTCCCACTTTCCGGATCTGGCTTTATCTATTGGCATGTCTTGGGACCGTTGTCCGTTGCTTCGCTCGCTTCTGCAACGCGCAGATGCAGTTGGTCACTTGTCACTTTTACCCAAGACAAGGCCCGAAGACGAGGATAGTGGCTGATTGGTACCGGCTAATCGGCCTGTAGGAGCGAGCGATCGGATGCTGCAAGACATGTTGAAGAAAGACGTGTTTTGTGATACCGCACAACATGATTTCTCTACACGTAGAGTTGATTGCAACACCGATTGTAGCTGTTGGTCTTGAGAAGGGGCGAGATGTCATCTGTCTCGCGCGTTTTCTTCGGATGGTAGAAGTCGTGTTGCGATGCGATTCACCATTGGGCACTAAAGTCCAGAAATAAAGGAGCTGTTATCGCAGAGCATGAAACTATCTGTTTTCGGCTTGTTTGCTCCTTAATTCAATTGACATGCGTGGTTCTCGGAGTGTTGCCAACCCCCGATCACCTGGAAAACCCGAGACTTTCATGGATGCAGACAGCAATACGTGCCATCTCAATGGAAATCTCCCGTAGATTTGAGTGAGAGAAGTCCCGAATTGAGCTCGTAAGCTGTAGGCGAAGTCATGTTCCGCAGCCCGTCTTCGAACCCCACGAGCAGCGGCTCTGCAAGTGACGTTCGTGGACTCGGGCCACGGAAGTCACCATATCCCTGCAAGGATGTGTGAACCCGCGGCGGGACCATCCATCTCACTAAAGTAGTCACAAAGTTGCATTGATTTTCGGGGCGAGAGCAACGTGTGTCAACTTTACATATGTACTTCGTACTGGGCATCTCATCCGCTCTGCCGCAAAGCATCGTCCTTCGTCATTCCTCTCATTCAATACCATTCGGCTCAGGAATAGGCTCCGCAACCAAGACCGTACTCTCTTCCGGCCTCTCCTGCTCCTCTTCAGCCTGCTTGTCCCTCTTCTCGTAGAATCCCTCCACGTCCTTGACCACCTGCCGCCCCGAAAAGTTCCTCATCAGCTTCTGCGACTCGCCTCGGATGCGGTGCTGGTACCAGTGCGGGAACGCCCGCAGCGCCGTCAGCACGTTGCCGTACGCGGGCAAGACGACGTGGCCGCTCTCGCCCGTGAGCACCTGCCTGACCACGGCGTCGGCGACGGTCTCGGGCTCCAGCGCCGGGAGGATGAACTCCACGCCCTGCTCGTAGCCGGTGAATAGTGGAGTCTTTGTGAAGCCCTGGTTGACCAGTACCGTGCGCACCCGCGGAGCGTTGTATCGGGTGGTGAGCTCTGCCGTAATACCCTCGTGGAATGCCATGGCGGCGGCTTTGGACGCGCCGTAGTCGACCTGGAGAGAGTTAGTCACCATCATTGGGTTGACAAGCCAGATCAGCCCGGAGGATCCATCCTACCATGTTGGGAACGCAAAGGTAGCTTGCGTACGAAGCAACCGTCACAATCATGCCGTGGTTAGTCTTCGCCATGTGGGGGAGGAACTCCTTGGTCGTCCAGTAGTGCGCAAGCGTGTTGACATCGAAAGTAAAGCGGATATCCCGCTCCGTCGAGTCGAGGACCGTCTTACCGCGGGCTACGCCGGCATTGTTGATGAGCACCGTCGGGTGGCCGACCTTTGCACGAATGTCGTCGGCCACGGCTGCGAGCTTCTCTGTTGACGTGATGTCGCACTTGAAGTAGTGAACATTGGAAGCTGCCGGCGAATGTCAGACGTCGAACGGCATGCAAGACCCAAGGGTTCCTCCAATGAAAGGAGAAACTCACCAGCAGTAAAAGTCAAGTCCTGGATATCCAACACAACGACAGTAGCACCCTGCTCAGCCAAAAGCCGCGCAACATGCCCACCAATGCCACCAGCACCGCCCGTGACGAGAACAATCTCCTTGCGCCAGTTGTACCGGTCGTCGACCCAGTTGTTCAGGGCACGCCGCGAGAGCCAGCTGCTCGCCCAGCGCGTCACGGCGCAGTACGCCAGGAACTTGATGCGCGAAAAGGCCGTGGGGTGGAGGATGGCGAGGTCGCCGCCCTTTTTGGTGTAGCGGGCGAGCAGCAGGAGCGGGAGCAGTACGGACGGGTTCAGGGCGGTCCTGGCGATGAGGCGGAAGATGGGGTCGGCGGTGAGGCCCTCGCGTGGGAGGAAGCCCTGGTGTAAAGGCATCGTCGAGGGTTGTGTAGTTGCTGCGCTTCGCGATGGGGTGTGTTTGTATGCCTTGGCAGGCTTATGATGGACCCTGCGGGATCAGGCTTTCGTTTCTCGAAGATGTTGATGAAATCAAACGATAGGCCCGGAGGTAACTCTGCGATGGACTTTTTCTAATGCCGGTGAGTCGAGTGAGGATTCGGCAACCAACCTCCTCGGTCGCGATGCAATGAAGCTCGAATTAGAGCTTAGGTTGTACTAGGTTCCCGAGACAGAAGGGATTGTCAAGAGAAACACAGTCTCAACACAGCACCACCGTGCTACTGGCATGCGAACCCCCCCTACTTAAAGGGTGTTTCAATGACGAGGGGGGTTTCAACAGTCATGGGAAAGAAAAGGTGGCCAGGGTCGTCCGTCACACACACACACACACACACACACACCGGGTGACAGAGGCAGAATAGCTCCCAACCGACTTGATGCTTGGCGTGAGTTGGAAAGCTCCGACCATCCAGTCAGTTACCGTGCCATCATGCTTGCCGCAGTCGTACAACCACACAACGTGCTCTCGCCCTTTTCCAGATTGGAGATGCAACGCGCAGCCGAGGTCTAGTGCGGCCAGAAAGTGCGGGGGAATCCGGGGGTCCCGTTGTCTAAACGGCGCGGAAGTCTGGGGGAGGGATGGGAGGGGGAGGGGACTTGCCATGCAGAGCCCGTCTAGTGAGTATTGTGATAGGACAAGGGGCTGGTGAGAAACGTGGATTGTGAGCTTCGATCGACGTTTCCTCGTGCCATGATAATTAACTACGAAAGGAAAAAATAAAAGCTGAGCCGAGTGGCGCGCGGGTGGTTGGCCACATGCAAGTGGTAAGTAAGTGGAACGGCTTCTCGCCTGGCCTGGTCTTGACGTGCGTATTGCCTTTTCCAGAAAGCAGTTCGTCGCGCGTGCGGCATGGGGGCCACCACCGGATGGCTAGGACGCTCCAGCTTCCGGATGGTCACCGACCCGGTGGGAGTGGAGACTGTGAAAGACCCGGGAATAGGTTTCCTACTGCGTAATAGACCCGTTCCTTGAGATCGGTTGGTGTTTGCTTTACTTTACAGTCTTTTTGAGTTGTACAAGACGAAAAGACTTTTGTGTATCCGTACTTTTGTTGGAGAGAATTAACCTTATCTTCAATTGGCTACCCTCCACCTTCGTTCCCCCTCTGCCAGCTTCTAGAAGAGATCAAATGTTCAGCCGTTTGAAATATCTGTGCGCAAAGGTAATCACCTTCATGTTGGTATATATACACCCATCGGTATCGGTTTCGGCACCATCCGACGGCCGACGGAAAAGAATTACGAGTCCCGTCGGGGGGGGGGGTTCGATTAAGATATATGTACTAATACAGCTTCCGCGTCTGGGGTATCATGAATGGGCACAAGTGTTACCACTACCACGCCTGCCTCCTACTTTGACAGTCTCCCTCACCTGCGACCCAGCGAAACTCAAGGGGGTTTCTCGTCAGGTCAGAGCATCTCCTCAAGCTTAGAGCATCAGCGCGGCACCGATGCTCACCAAACACAACCAATACGTCCCATCCCTCCATCTCAAGCTCGCTCCCGCGCCGAGTCCGTCACCAGGCGTCGCCTCGGGCTTCGTTCCGCCTAGCCCGTCGTCGCCGCTTCCGTCTCCCGATTTGACTTCAATGGTGGTGGAGTCACCCGGCGCAAAGAGCACGCCGACGCCGTTGGCGGCCGTGGCGTTGAGCTGCTCGGCGGTGAGGAGCGGGTTGTTGAGGGCGTCACATGAGGGTCGGCCGTCTTTCTGCTCGATGCTGTTCGTGACGGAGATGGGCACGTCAAAGATTGTGTAGTGGTCTTCGCCGTTGAGGCGGAAATTTTGGCGGATGGAGATCTAGGGGGGAATTGGTGTGTTAGTCCTCAACCCTCCGTATCGGTTCCAAGTTTGGGGGTGAGTGTGTGAGTGGTCCAACTTACATTGTATGCACCGCGATCGCTGTCGCTCGAGCTGGGCTGTCCGTTGCCGACGAGACAATCCGGCCATATCCAGTTTACATGTTTCACCGTGCTGCCGGGCTCCTGGGTCATAATCTCCCCCAGACTGGCGTTGTTGGCCGTCGCCGTGCCGTTGGAGATGGTGAAGTTGCGGCCCGTGGTGCAGCTTGACAAGAACATTGTCACATTGAAGATCTTGGTCGGGCTATCCGAGGCGTACGGCGGCAGCGGCATCTTGCCGTTCGTCGAGACATCGATCGCAACATGAAGGTTATCTATAGTTGAACCACTGTTAACGATCTGTGGTGTCCGATGAAAACCAGATATCATGTTGTTTGCTAGCCTTCATCTGAAGGTTTTTTTTTTTTTTTTTTTTTTTTGGAAAAGGGTCTGGCTGGAACTAACCTCCGCCCAGCGGGGTCCCCGGCTGAGGCGCATCCAAGATGACCAGCCCAGGAGTGAAGATCTGGCCATTGGCAATGGTGAAGTTCTGGGCCGACCCGGAGGCCGCGAATAGGGCCAACACCGCGGCCGCGGCATACGAAGCTGAGGAGACCATGGCGATAGAAATGAATGCAACGCTGCGGATAGGTCAAGCCAGGTCCGTGAGGCCGTAAGAAAAGGGAAAGATCGCAAGAGATCCGGAACGCAGAACCGAGAAAGAAGAGGGACAGAAAAGGCTAGCAGCGATATTGCGCCTGCGCGGGGCAGCTGTTTAATTATTCAAAGCCCACGCGCCTGAAGCATCCAAGAGCGGGAACAGGGTTCCTGGATCTCTAACAAAAGTACGGATAAAGTGGGAACAGCGGCCCTTGAAAATTCGAGAAAAGGATGATTTCGTTCGATGCGGGATGATGGATCGGGGCTCACAGGGAAATGAGCATACGGGCCACACACCTGGAGTAGATTGCCAGGGTATGGTGGGTGAGCAAGAGATGATGTGAAGACAGGCAAGGCAGAAAAGGGCAAACAGCCAAGATCCCAAGAGGATGGGACGTCGACCGTTCTTGAGGCAGAAAGAATGGGGGGCGAAAAAGTCTTGAAAGCCTCATACTACGGATAGAAGCTACGTCGTTATGCAAGCTCGTCCTCAAACCACCTCCTCTCGGTTCGATGACAGCGGCGATCCGACGCAAGAAACGGCAGAGAACCTTGGCCCTTTGTGAGCCTTGCAGGTTCTGGGCCACTGTCATTCATGCCGTGTTTGTATCCCTACACAGAAAGGTGTGTGGTCGAGAACTGGGGCCAGGCGTTCCACCGCTTTACAATAACCTTACAACTCTACCACTATTACCACCTGGCACCGTGGCACCATACGATACGCGATCTCCAACCAACCCTTCGGTTGTGGTGTCTGTGCATGACGTGGGTTCGGATTCGCCAGGGGCTTGGAACAGAGGAGCAGAGACTCCAGGAGTCCAGAGGCAGACGGGAGGAGTGAGGTGGTCAAGGTAATAACGGCTGGGGATTAAGATGACTTGCCCCCATCCGCGGGTATGACGCCCTCTTGATGCACGGCAGGTTTCATATTGACGGACGGGAAGAACTGGCAGAGAGGAACTTGCAAAGAGCGCTGTACATAAATTTTGTTAATTTGCGAGCAACCCGTTACCCATCGCATGTTCCGCCAAGGGCCGCTCTCTTGTTGATGAAGAAGGGCGGCCCCCAATAGCGAAATAGAAAGGACCTCGAACGTCCGTCAATGAGAAATGAGACGGCGAAGACGCACGAGCCAACGCCTAATTAAACTTGCAGCCAAACACCCTGCGCTGGCGCGGTGGGGTTTCCGGCCCTTTCGGTCCCCTCGGCATCGTCTTCCGTCGGCAAGTGACCTCCCCAGGTCCGTATGGCATTTGTAAGGGTCTGCTAATTACTCGTCAAGTGTTCGCAGAGGAAATATCTCTTCAGTTTCATAACAAGTGGTTGAGTAGGGATCACAATGTTGAGCAATCATTTGTACAAATTCGACATCCATTAATGACACCATCCTGCGTTGTAGGTAAATCGAGGGCGAATTATCTAACATGAACAAATTTTTGAAAGAAAAAAAAAAGCAAACTCGTCTAGTAGTTTTCTTGAAGAATTCTTCTTTTGGTTCTTTTTGGTTCTTCCCAACGCCTCGCTGTCTTTTTGTGAAAACTTACAGGTATCCTCCCCAACCATGAACTCACTTAGGTCCAGAGGATACAGGTGCCGTCGGCGCCGGCACTCACACACCAGGGCTCCGTAGGGTGCCAGTCCACGTCCAGGACACCGAGCTTGTTGACAATCTTGTGACCCTTGAGCATCTTCACCGGCACAATGGTCGGGTTCTCCATGAGATCAGTCACGACCTTGCCGTGGAAGATCTGCAGGGTGCCGTCGTCACTGGCGTCGGCGAACAGGGGGAAGCTGCGATGGTACTTGACGGCGCGGATGGCCTCCGAGTGGAAGCGCATCGTCTTGTACGGGCGGTTGGAGAGGTCGAGGTCGTGCCACAGGAGACGTCTGTCGTAAGATCCCACGACGATGTTGTCACCGCCAGAGTGCACGTCAAAGGACGAGATCCAGCGGGCGCCGGGCTGGATGACCTTGACGAGCTCCTGTCTTTGCAGGTCGTAGCAGCGGATCATGCGCTGGGTCGCGACGAAGAAGAGGGGTCTCGAGGGGTGGAACTGCGCCGTTTGGGCGAGACCGGGCAGCTTGCGGAAGGGAATCTGAGTCAGATGCTTCGAGAGGGTGTGGATGGCGACTGCGCTGCGCTGACCGTTGGGGGAGACGGTGCTGAGGAAGTCTCCGCGTCTGTGCCAGTTGATCACCTTGATGACTGACCTGACGGTGGCCTTGAGCAGGACGCCGGCAGCCTCCAACTTGGAGCCGGGTCTGGCCCACTTGCCCGGGTGCTCCTTGGTAATAGCAGCATTGGGCTGAGGGTTCTGTGTGGCGTAACCGAAACCAGCGTCGAGAATGTCACGGCTGGCCTTGTCGATGCCATCCGCACCGCGGGGAGGAACCGCAAAGAAGATGTCTTCACCAGCGGCGGCGGCCAGAATGAACGTCTCCTTGTTAGGACGCCAGCGGACAGCGTTCACAGCCTCATCGAGACTGAGCTTGGCCATCCATTCCTGGCGACCGGTACGGAGATGCCACAAGCGCACAGTACCGTCATCACCACCACTTGCAAGCCATTCGCCGTCAGGGCTGATGGCAGAAGACCGTACACGACCCTCGTGACCACGGAAAACAGTCTGGCAGGATGTGGGGAAAGGTCTGAGCTCCTCGGGACGAGGCAGCTTGGGAAGAAGCGACGCAGGGTCGATGTTGAGCCTGTTCTTGCGCACACGGGGAGCGAGGTAGAGATCCAGACAGCGCTCGAAGCGCTCCTTGACGAATTCGCCGTAGGCGGGGACCTTGCGCAACGAATCGAACTTGGCGGGCATGTACTCCTTCTCTCTGTCCTCGGGATCCGCCTTCTCCCACTCTTCCCTCTCGGCTTCTGTCGGGAGGT